TCCCATGATCTTCCAAGCATTTTCCCAGCAAACCCGGCCTGGTAAACTGTCACATAACGAACTGGACAAAAAAACCATGTTCAATGGATAAATCAACGATTTCTATGGCCATTTTCAATAGCTATGTTAGTTTACCAGAGGGTATATCCCATGAATATCCCATGTATAGATGGTTTACCCATAAAAAATGACCATTTTCAATACCTATGTAACAGTCATTACCAGAGGGTACCATGTTGGAATCAGGGCATCTCCATCATCATACCATCTCCTTATGGAGCTTCGTGTAGACGAACAAATGTGTCTCCTGCCGATCCCGGAAGAAGTGCCCATAGTGGGCCAGGAAATGTCCTCAGTCGGAGATGTTTGGGACTTGGAGATTTTTGTTCGCAAACAACATGCTATTTTTTAACCATATATCTTACCGACACAAATTGGGATTGCAGCAAATAAACGATGGATTTCAACAAAATTTTAAGTGGATGTGATCGATAAACATAGTGATTCGGAAGTGAAATGATGCTATTTACTGACAACTTGGGAGTTTGGGGTTGGGCTCCATCTTGGATCCTGATGATCCTGAAACGCTCAAGTTTTTTTAGGTTGAAGATGGACCATCCCCTGACTAAGGCGAAAAGGATCTGTGACCACCGAGCCGATCTTGTTGAAGACCTAGGTGCTGTATACCAATTATTATGCTCTATGCTCCCGTCTGAAAGTAACCCATATCACAAAAACATGCTTTTACCATCTTTTACTAAGAGTAAATTTTCCATTTCTATTCTTTTACTAACAGTCACCTATATCTTTTACTTCAATTTCCCATTTCTATTTGATTTGACGAAACATTCGCACGATACCACATGGTTTTTCACTCGCACACCAAAAACGATGCCAAAACCAGCAACTCAGGTAGTGTCCAAATCCATCCGAATCCACCTGAGACTGGGGACCAGTGGAGAAGCCATCTCTGGTTGGTGATTTCAATCAACCCCTCTGAAAAATGATGGAGTTCGTCGGGATGATGAAATTACCATATATGAAATGGAAAAATAAAATTTATGTTCCAAACCACCAACCAGTTGCTCTCTAGTAAACTAACAGTCAACTAACAGTTTGCGAACTGGACAATGGCCCATAGAAATAGTTGATTTACCTATTAGACATGGTGATTTTCCATAGTTGTGTTAGATTGCTATGTTTGATTACTGAATGGTATTTCTGTAAAATGGTTCTGCAACAAAAAGGACTCCAAACTTGGAAACATATTACAAAAACAACACCCAAATCCGTGGTTCCACTATGCTTCTTGTAGAAATACGACTAGACATGGGATATGTGATATTGATAGAAACTTACATGAAGCTACCTATAATTCACCATGTCTTTATCATCAAAACAATATTCTCCAAGGTTGCTGCCCTGTGCTCAGCAAGTCTCGGTCAATGATTCACCATGGCCATACCATGGCCATGGCTCTGGCAAGCTCTTGGATTAGCAATGATTATTCAATAAATTGAACACTATTCCATTACTATCCCCTCATTCCTGCTTATATCATCTTGTATCCTCTTTATATCCCTGATATTCCCTGAACATTTGTCCTTACCACCAGTTTTGTGAAATATTGACACATCAGATTTGCCCGAAACATTGACACATAAAATTTGCACCACCCATTTTGGAGCATCCCACTTAAGGAAGTGGTCAAGAACCAGAGCTAGGAGTCATCCAGCCGTTTCATTAAGTAATTTATATTAATTTGTGTTAGTCATGCTAAATCTATGGAAGTATATCATGTCAGAAAAAAACATGCGCCACTTACCATGGCTGCAGTCTGTTTGTTTTTTTTCGGAGCCCATGGAATGGCTCTCTGCCTGTCAATTCCCGCTTGGTTGGAGAATCAAACCACATGATATGGAGGTTTCCTACAATGGGGGGGTACCCCAATAGCTGGATGGTTTATTTCATGGAAAATCCATGAAGATCCGAAAATTGAATGGATGATTTAGGGATATTTAGGGCCATCCCATTTCAGGAAACCTCCAGACTCCATATCATGATGCTTTAACACTATATTGATTCTGACTCGGCAGAATGGAGTGCCCATCTTCAACATCTCGGCGTGCCTCTCTTCAACAGCCGTGGCCAAGCTGAAATTCTCCCCGGTCGCGGAAACTCAAATATGGTAAAATATGGTAACCCCCCAAAAGTTCGATGATTTACCATTAATTATCCAAAAAAATGAGTTTCCATGATGGTTACCATTTGAATATGCTAAGCCAGTCATATGCTAAACAGCTGAAGTACTGGAGTCCTGGCTATCCTCCAGTGTCATGAAACGTGGCTGGATGGAGGTTTCGCTGGGAAAATCATCGAACTAAATCGTGGATTTCCAGCAAGCCACGTTTGATGACCGGAGGCTATGTAATATGATAATGATATGGTTATAGAAGTTAAAATTAATGGTGATGATATATGATTATATACATATACATATACTATATTAATTAATATATTACCAATCATATTGAAACCTTCCATGATCATATTTTGGTACTGATTTCCCATTTTTATCCCCATTCATATCCCATTGAAACATCATCAAAGCACTATTAATCCACCAATATATCCCCATTAATCATCATTAATCCCCAAATTATCATGTTTGAGTTTGTTATCCCATATCATGGGTCATTAAATGTCCCCATTGAACATCACCCAACCATTAGGTATATGGTCAATGCCATGGCTACTATAAGGTGATGTCCAATATTCCCAAAATGGGACAGGTACCAACCCCTGCATATTTTGTATTATTTTCTCATATATTCTTGGCTTTCTCCTACTACTCGGATTTACTGAGCCGGACCGTCCAAAAATTCTGCACATCATTCCCTTACTCGATTCCCCAGTGGATTTCCCATTGGGAAAACAAAATCCTAGGGAAACATCGACACAGGAAACCAATGGAAACCATAGGTATTTTCCCGTTATGTAAACATGGGGCTTTTTTTTCACATTTCACCGTAAATATATATATAAACCAATCCATTGAATAGTATATAAATCATCATAAATCATCCCATTTCTACAATAAAGCAATAGTAAACAAATAGATATGGGGATGGGTCAAAACCTTGTACCCCTGGTGAACATCAAAATAGCTGGTAAATGGATGTTCATTCCCCTAAAAATGGTATTAATAGGTATTGATCCATAGCCATATTTCGTGGATTTCTACTATGGATATTGAAGCCGTAGTTGAAGCCGTAGTGGATATAAACCAATCCATTGATATCCCCATGAATTTGTCATCGAGCCACGTACCAGGTCTTGAACTCTGCCAGCATCGCCGGCTGCCAGTCCGCCATGGCGAAAGTGTTTAGTTTTTCGCGTGGAGAACGGCGGAGCGTGGAGACCGTTGTGCTTTAACAAGGGAGATCTATGCCGACTCTAAGCACCAAGAAAAATGGAGTCGAGTCCAGTTCTAAAGCAGAGTGATATATAGAAGTCACTTTTCCATCGGCATCTTACTATATGTTGAAACACAGCTGAACATGTGGATTTGGTGTCGTGTCTTTGTGAATTCCTAGCTGGATGGCTAACATCTTCAGAGCGGTCGAGATCTTGGGAAGAGGGAAATCCCAGCCCGAAACCAGGCTGAAAGGCTAGATGCCAACAAGGTAGATATGAAAATTTATGAAAATGATCTTTGGGAACATCTACTGCCCAAGCTTCCTGCCAAATGTTCAGAACATCTTTTCAGCACAGCCACCAGCTACCATCATCCATCTGAGTTCGACTTACCACTGAGTCAGTGGAGCATCCACCAGCAAACTGTTGAAGAATGGTTGCACCAAAAACATTGATTACAATACAAATATAATAATATTGTTATATGATAGTATACTTATTGATCATCATATTAGTATACTTATATAATAATATATTACAACATTGATTAGTATACTTGTTGATCATCATATTATGTTTACCTTTTCATGGCCATGAATGGGGCCGACTGGACACCCCCTAGTTTTTTCAGACGCACTTAAAAAATCTCTGGTGTTTCAGGGAAAAAACATGAAGCCTCCATGTTTGCTACCCTCTGGTAAACATACAAAAAGCTATTGAAAATGGCCATAGAAATAGTGGATTTACACAGCTATAAAATGGTGATTTTCCATAGCTATGTTAGTTTTCCATGTTTGCTAACAACATTAACAAGGTGTCCGATGAATCCAGAGTCCAGCTTTCCCGACAAAACAGCCAGCAGGACTCTACCACCAGGCCGCTGCTGGACGCAAAGACTCTGGCCTCCAGCTGGAGCTTTTCGACAAGGGTCCTAGGTCCTAGAGATCAAACTATTTGGTGGCTTACCATCTGGTTTTTTTTAAACATAGCCATGGAAAATCCCAAAAATAAATGGAGGTTTCTAGCTGGGAGAATCATCTATTTCTATGGGCCATGGCTTCCATGGCTATGTTAAATAACCAAAGGGTAACAGAAAAGAAACATGGCCTATCTTAGAGACCCCTGCCAAAAAAAAAACGATTGCTTGAAAACGTGAGTAGTGATCAGCCAATCACATGAAAAACGTGACCTACCCAGCCACGATCCAAGATAATATATAAGATATGCATGGTTGATGGGGTTATTTACACAATTAACACCTTCAGCCTTGAACTAATCAGATTTTTTTCATACAAGGGTCTGTTCATGTGTGTGTTCATCAAAGATTTCTCAAAGAAGTGAAACCAGTCGAAAATCATCCCAACTTTTCGGATGAACATCATTCACATCTGACATTTGAAACCACCAATCAGCGCTAATTTATCAGCGGAGAACTATAACATACTATAACTATCCATTCTTCAGCATTGAATTTATCCATTGTTAACCCATTGGATACCCATTGTTAACCCATTGTTCACCCATTGATGACCCATTGGATACCCATCGGATCCTCCAATAACACAACCTAGGGAGAAGTAGCCCGGGCCTTCAAGGAGCAGCTCACGAGAGTTCTGTTCATCTCGTGAAAGACTGTCGCCTCAAAAACGATTTTCGACGCGAGTCGGAAACAGAAAAAATGGAATTATAAGCTGGACATGTTCATGATACATCATGATATCTCATGATATCTCATTTGGCTGGGTATACTTTCTTTTTGATGGAGCCAGTATATGATACATAATCTATATCGAAATATATCGAATCTATATCGAATCTGTAAGATAGCCTCATTCTAAGCCAGCTGGGTAATCGATAAGCTGGACAACACCAGCGGCTTAAGGTGAGGGTGGATGAATTTCGATGAATTTCGTGTTTCAAACTTGGAATCTTCAGCAATTTCAAGTTTGGAATCACCTCCCATTGCCGGTGTAGAGACCCGGTAGGCGGCAGTTGGGTTTGTCGGAGAGAATGATGGGCCTCTCTATGGCCTGGTGCCACTTAGATACTTCGATGGGCCATGGAGTTAGTTCATGGTTTGGGATCCAAGTAACCTCGAATAAGTGGGTAATAGTGGGTGTGTTTCATGGGTCATGACGCACTGACCAGTTCACTAACTCCATGGCCCACTTAAGCAGCCCGTTTTTGTCCAAACATCAGTTGAATCAAACGTCATGTGGGATTATCTATAGCAATGTTAGTAGAAAATCCCGTTTCTATCTTTTCTGGAATATGATGACATTTGCCATTGATTGACCCATTTACCATTAGTGAATTCATTATCGTTCATCAGATCATCATTTACCATCTGGTACGGTTATGTAATGGTTAATTAACCATTTCGCTGTGCGTAAAAAACCCGGTATACACTGCTGAACCCTAAAATATGAACCGGATATTCATCTCTCCAAATATCAAATATAGCAATGGGTTTTGGGCTTGTCCCAACCCATCCCAAACATGTGAAGCATCCTGTTGGTATGGTTGAAAAAATAAGAAATCATCCAATCCTTGGTTCATATCAAACACCTACATGGTCTCTAAATATGTCTGGTTGGTGGTTGAGCCACCCCTCTGAAAAATATGAGTTCGTCAGTTGGGATGATTATTCCCAATGTATGGAAAAATAAAAAGTGCTCCAAACCACCAACCAGATATGTAAACTTCCTACTGTACTACACTAAACCGCAACTTACTTCTGGGGGGTGTTTCATATGAACTGGGGAAGGGATTATCTCGGACTTGCTGAAACAACCCCCCTGCCACCCAAAGAATCTTATGAACTCCGCAAGTGGTGGATTTCCCATTGATATGTATATATATATATGTATGTATATATATATGTATGTATATATATATATATTGATATACAGTATATATATATATATTACATATATATATATAATATATGTGTAATATAATATTTACCTTCAGCAAATCCAAGTTACATCTTTTCTTTGAAATCCCCAACCTTGGAACCTTTTTCTTGGGTCCTTCAAGGGGTCCTCCTTTTTACGGCCGGCCTTCATCGCGAATTTCCGGGGCCGCACTTTGGTGAACGACGCCGAGGCCTGGACCGTTCAGGGCACCAAAAAAGGTCACCACCCGTTGACAACAAAAAAAAAAACGGGGGATGACTGAGACAGGTATAGAACGAAACTCTACTATATTATAATATGTACCTATATGTATACCTATATGTATACCTATATATATATATGTAAATCTTATAAATGCATGTGAATGTATGTGAATATTCTAAAATAAATTATACAATGTATATATTAGCGTATATAACATGTATTATATAAATATTGCATAAATGATCATGAAAGGTTACGGGAAATCATGGCAAATCTAGAAAGATGTACACACATCTATAGAGATTGCAGAGGCATAGCATAGGTAAACACAAAGAAAGGGATTAAACACATGTAAAAAAATGGTAATGTATAATGTGGTGAAATTACCTGTTTACCTTCAAGTAAAACATGGTAGAACGTGGCCAACAAATGGGTGAACGCTGGGGAGTTGTTGCAGCAATGTAGGCTGTCTACCACTGAACATTGAAAAAGGCTGGCGGAAAGAAACAACATGAAACATTGTAGATGTTACAAATGTATTGGGTTCAATCCAATAATTATGTTTGATTTTTTGGGTTTACCACATGTAGATGTTACAAATGGATTGAACACACAAAACGAACATAATTGATGTGGTAAACCCAAAAACAAACCTATCATTTGGGGATGGTTGAAAAACAATTTTATACCACCCATTTGTGGTGATTTTGGGGATGCCAACATATATACATACATATTCATACATATACAATATATACCTATATATATATATGTAATACATATATATATATGTAATACATATATATATAATACATATATATAATACACATATATATATAATACATACATATATATAATATATAATATGTATATACTGTATATATATATAATTGCAGATTCAGATTCCTTAGTGAAGCGACGGATTCTTCGGAAGTCGCGTGTGGATCCCACAACAGCACCGACTGTCCAACACAAACGGCGGCCTTCGTTCTCAAGAAGTCGTAGACGCAACTAGCTGCCTCAATTTGGGTGACATCTTCTAGATTCCCCTTGGGATATCGGAGCTGAAAGGGTCAGATCTTGGACAGTAAAGATATCCCAAGGGGTAGGGTTTCTTTCAGCTTAGTGGGGTTAATGATGGTTGATGATGGTTGATGATTGTTGATATAATAGTGATTAATGTGGGTAAAACAATGCCATTTGCACGAAATCCCCAGTCATCACCATTTTTATATATAGGTGGTATGTATGTTTACCATTCCCAGTCATGGGTGGTTTATGGCCTCGTTTTACCCCACCTCTTTTTGGAAGCCAGCTGGGAAATGCTGGGAAACCACTGGAGTTCCAGGGATCATTTACTTGTTCCATGAAACGCGTGCCACAGACAGGCCCAATTCATGACATGACTCACCTTCGATTCCCCTTGTGATTGGCTAAGAAAAATGGGGCACAATGGACCCACAATGTGGTTAAACATGGTTAAACCATGGTAAACCCAAGAAAGAAGCTTCCATTGGCAGATGTTTTGCAACCTACCCTCTGGTAATTCAAAATAGCTATTGAACATGGCCATAGAAATAGTTGATTTACCTTTTGGACATGGTGATTTTCCAGTTCGCAAACTGTTAGTTTGCCAAAGGGTATTTCTGGTAATGTTGGGAATGGTTCATTATAGGTCTTACCGTATGAATTCTTCCAACCTGAACCGGCCTATGCGATGGGCTTGTTCGGATACAACTGGTGCAATTTCGCGCCAGAACATGGACAAACATGGTTGGTGGTTCTACCACCCGTTCCGAAGAATTGGTACCGCCATCTCAAATGTAGGAATGGAAATGGGAAACTCAAGAACTCTTCAAATACCCGCTGGTAAACGTTTACATAACTATGGAAAATCACAATTTTTAATGGGAAAACTCACTGTTTCAATGGTCATTTTCAATAGCTTTTTGTATGTTTACCAGAGAGTATCTTCAGAAACTCACCAGCCAAACAATGACATTAAGCTGATCTTTTACCAGCTATAGACCACTAACAATGACATTTATAGATGATTTTTCCAACTATAGACCTCCACTTTCATGTAGGATGCCACATTTGGGTATGGATCAAAGGCTATTAATTTCCGATATAAAGGGAAGTAACATGGAACAATTTGGAATAACCATCCATTAACCAGCTATTTTAAGGTACCGTTTGGGTACTAGGTTTTGACTCATAGCCATTTAACAATACTGGTTGGTGGTGCAATAACCATCTTGAAAAATGATGGACTTCGTCAATGGGAAGGATGACATCCCATATATGAAATGGAATATATTCCAGCCATGTTCCAAACCACCAACCAGCCATTGCTGTTTATCATCATATACAATAATCATTGATAAATGATGATAAACGCCATAGATTCGGGAATATATCAGCATTTATCATCAATTTACCAACATTTGCTAATGTACCATATACTATCATATACCATTATACCATATACCAACCAGAAGACCTCCTCTGACCTACCAGGACCTACCAGGACCTACCAAGACCTCGCCTGCGCTGCACCGGCGTTGTCATTGAGCTGAACGGAGGTGCTCGAGCAGTGAGGCCTGGAAACCTGCGCAACAAAAATCCTCGGTCAATGGGTAATGGTCAATGGGTAATGGTGATAATTAACAATAACTCACCAGTAATTGATGTATATATATATATTAATGGTAGTATACTAATTGATAGTAATTGAATGTAATTAACAATACATACTGTAATCATAGTAATTAACAATAATTGATAGTACTAATGATTACCGTCCAGAATGGTTACCCTCCAGAATGGTTACCCTCCATTAAACCCTCCAGGGAGATTGATATAATATATATATATATATTAATGAATATTAATGATATATAGACCCTGCCATGTGTTGGGGCTGGAAGATGAGTGAAACCACTAAACATGTGTTATTTTCGGGGTCTATGTAAAAAAAAATACCAGAGGGTAATGGTTAGCAATTGTTACTGCTGCTGCTGGTTACACAAAATCCATCAGATTATTACCAGGATCATCAAACAATATTTTCGAAGATCCAGGATGATCTTTTTTTTTATTGATATTGATGATCAAACCATTATTAGTAATCATACATGGACATTATATGAAATGGTCAATAATTATATATATATAAGTTGGAACAAGATAATGCCCAGACTACTCGGTGAAAGTTGGGATCCAACGGAATTTTCCACCATGTTCCTGGTTGGAGCCACGTTCAACGTTCCACGTTTGTTTCATGGTGGGGGAACGATTCCGTGGGATTCCGAAAAAACTGCTGGTGCCCCTTGTATCCCGAGTATCAGAATCTAAGAGAATTTAAAGTGCTGAAAACGGTATTTTATGAGAATGTGCTACTACATCTATACGATGCGCATATATGATACATATGCATAATAATATATAATAATATATAATAATATCATATACATGTACACCGACTTTACTCAACAAGGACTCGTAGGGAAGGGTCCATTCAAAATCGCCATTTGGCTATTCTCAGAATGATCCCATCCTTGGGTAATCAAACTACATGCTTAGTCCAACGATGTCCAACGTATATTCCACCAACCACTAGGTTGGGCTCAGTTTTAAGCTGGTCAAAAAAACATAAAACCAATATTGATAAACTTCTTCTATGTATTGATAAACTCAATTACCATAGTTTACCAACAGTTTCAATTTTAATAAACTCAATATAAACATTATTGGTAAACTAATTTATTGTTTAGTTTACCAATAATTAGTTTACCAATAAACTCGTTTTTGTTCGTGGAGTCTCGTGTGCACCAACATATAGCCATCCTTCGTGGGCACATGTGGGCACCCAGCAAGGAGATAAGGTCCATGTTCGACCCCCAACCCTTTGGATTCAGATCTTTAGTTATCTAAATGTTCTAATATTCGTTTCAAGATATTTTAGTCATCTTTAGTTCTTCGGAAAAAAACCATTAGCTACCTTTAAATTTAATAGTTATCCCAGTCTTTAAATACATATATATATATTAAATATATATATATATACAGTACATGTATATCTCTTCTTCCGAAAAAAAAAACACGTTCCCATCGCTGTCCCTACATCGCTACATCGCTGTCGGCATCGCCTGCGCGGGAGCCACATCCTCCGGAAATGGCTCGTCCAGCTCCACATACGGTGTGGGGCTCACCGGAGGATCCTGGCTCGCTGAAGCTCGCGACGCGGGGCATCGCGTCCGGGGGCTTTTTCAGAGCTGCAAAATGGTGGTTTTTTCATGGGGGACAATGATTAAAAAGAATGATAAACCATCGATCTGGGCAAATGATCATAATTCACTAAGCTGAAATAAGAATAATAAGACCACTATTCACTTCAAGAAAGGTGCCACCCCCCGGGAAAGAAGGCCATTTTGGGATGATTCCCCTGGATGGTTCATCCCCATCTTTCATCATTTTCCACGATGAATTCCCAGATAACTGGTGACTGTAGGAGATAATGGACGCAGATAACTCCCAAAAGATACAAACATCATGATATTCCAATTCCACCTACAACTCTACAACTCCAACTTGATGATCATTGGGATATTTGTTGGCTGCAGATATCACCATTCTAGTGGGCCTTGTAGTGGTGTTCCTTTTCCACCTTGGGAAACCCTTTTGCAAGATGGTCAACGGTGAAATTTCATCAGAATTCTGTGGTGATATGAACAACATTGAACAACAAACTCGGGCTTCAACCAAGGAGATGAAATTGCTGACAAGGCAGAGTTCAATACAGGTACAATTGTTACTGTACACCTGTTTAAAAAAGTGGGAGGGGTAGACTTAAGTACATACACGTGTATATTCATACATATTTACATGCATACTACTATATATATATATTACTATATACTATGACCATTATTATGTAATATTACGGCCAAAAACCTCGTTTTGCCTGCGCCTGTTGGCCCGCCTTCTTCGTATGAGCTGAAAACATGGTAAACAAAGGGATATTTTAGCAGCATAGGGACCTGTGCGGCCTGTGCGGGTTCGTTCCACATCATCATCATCATCATCATCATCATCACCATCACCATCACCATCACCACCTTTGTTGATCTTCCCAATTGAATGTAAAGTTTTTAACGGGGGTGGGACTTTTATATTCCCTACTACCTTTGTTGATCTTCCCAGTTGAATGTAAAGTTCTTAACGGGGGTGGGACTTTTTATATTCCCTACTACCTTTGTTGATCTTCCCAATTGAATGTAAAGTTTAACGGGGTTGGGATTCGCTAATGCCTTTGTTAATCTTCCCAATTGAATGTAAAGTTTGACGACTTTCATATTCCCCAATGCCTTTGTTAATCTTCCCAACTGAATGTAAAGTTTGACGGGGGTAAGACTTTTATATTCCCTACTACCCTTATATGTATATATTACTATACATCAATACATATATTTCTATATACTGATACACATTAATGCAACCCACAACTCGTCAACTCCATCTCGGTCATCTCTGGTCGATTCCCTCATATGAAACAGCCCCGAGAAACCATGGTTTACCTGAGGCTTTAGGTTATTACAACGATTTACCATCTGGTTATTTAACATAGCCATGGAAAATCACCATTTTTAATAGGTAAACCATCTATTTCTATGGGCCATTTCCCATGGCTATGTTAAATAACCAGAGGGTATTTCAGATCATTTAGGAGATATTCAATATTTGGGGATGGGTTTAGTCAACAAATGTCAACAAATGTCAACAGTGATTACCCTCTGGTTATGACTAACATAGCCATGGTATAGATGGCCCATTTATAGATGGTTTACCTATAAAACATGGTGATTTTCCATGGCTATGTTAAATGACCAGATGGTAAATACTTGGTTTAGTCATGGTTTACGTCATCATAACCTTCAGCAGCATCATCAGCATATATGCAAGCGTCAGCTACTAGCAGCCGCAGAAAATTCTCTCTGTACGTAATTTCGATCGGCTCCTGTGTCTTGAAGTCATAGATCTCCTCAAGTTTCTTTTTCAAAAGGTTCGAAGACCGCTGGTTATGAGGCTGTGTCGATGCGAGCATGCCCTGGATGGAGATAACCACCGTGGCAGATGAGAAGTGGTGCTACCTTTAATAACCTGAGATATGTAATATGGGCTATCTTCTATACGTCTCATATGAGTTTGTTATGTTTACCAAAACCCATAATACAATTGTGAAGATTTATCGAATAAACCACACTCATCATATTACGATTGTTTGTCTGGGCATAAAATTGTTTGATATACGGATTAAATCGGATTAACATATTGTCCAATGCGATTATCATGTAAATGTACATACCAAATCCAAATAAACTACATGTCATAAATGAATTAACCCAACTTATCCAACTAATGTAACCAATGGATATAAGTTCCTATTTCAGATTCGCTGATTATCCAATATTATCCACCAAGTCATCAAACAAGTATGGTACCCCAATACCTAGCGCTTTTCGTTTTGCAACATCACATTCCACATTTTCTATGTCGGCACTCAATCGGAAAACCGCAACTTTTCAGACCCATACTACCTCGATATGCTCCATGGTCGTTAAACATGCTATATGTGCTGTGTTCATCGCACAATAATGAAAATAGGAATGCTTGTGCTGTATATATATATATATATGTATATATGTATATACATATGTCCTCTCTTCATGGCTGGATGACCATCCCATTTATCAAAAATATACCATATGTTGATTTCATACCATTATATTCTGATTTACATCCCATGAAATCCACGTGTTGAATGCTTTCCACCTCCCAGCCACCTTGTGACAACTGGGGAGGGGCAGCTCATAGGCCCCGGGCAGAAATGCATCAACTTCTCCTCGCACAAAATGGTGCCATGGGGGGTTCTTAAGTCATAGGGGATCCCCAAGTAATATCATGTATCGGGTAAATTATAATATTTCGCTAACCTGAATTAAAGCCATTTTGGGATGATTCCCCTCACTAACTATGATTATAGTGAGGTCGCAGTGAGGTCGTTATAATTTACCTAATATATCATCATATTAGAATTCACCTCAACAAACATCTGTTGATATCTGTTCATTCCCAATATATCCCCAAACACTCGAAGGTAAGGGATTGCAAATTGATTTGGGGTTATTGGAAATCAATCTCTGATAAAAAATGATAAAATGCTGGTTGAATTCCATTGCCACCCATAATCCATTGCAAATCCTTCCCTTCATTTCTGTAAAAAAAAAACCTGTAGATCGATTCCCCTTCTTAGGGCATTTCTCATTGGGAAAAGGCCCAAAAAATCTGATTCATTGGGAAATCCCGCCTGGATGACGCAAATCCAGCATGCCTGGCTCCACCTGGCTTCAAAAAACGGAGGTGTTTTCTTGTCATGGCGAAGCTTGGAGAAACCATGACAAAAAACAGCTTAGGCAAAATGTTAGGTTTAGAATATCTTAGAACTCAGAATCCTACATTTGAATACAAACCAAGGTTTGCTCGATTCTTGGGACACACAGCTGAGGTGTTTCATGTTTTGTTTGACAACATGCCACCCAGTCCTACTTCAAAAAACACCCCTACTTTGGTCGGTGCCATCAAGTTTAGATGAACCCGTCTTGCTTACAGCCCCACGTTTTTCCATCTTGATTAGCTTGCCTTCAACAAAAACCTAAGATTAGACTCTGCCGCCCAAAATCAGGTTTTACATGGTTTGAACATGTTTTTCCAAACATGGTACTACGCTAGCCGCTAGTGCTGCGTTTCACATGCCACCCCTCAGCTGAAAACTGGCAAGGCCGCACCAAAGCAACGCCTCTTGTGATGCTCTCGGGCCTGGGATGATCTGCTCAAATCGTGTCCGTTCACTGGATATGTTTTTCGTTAAACCTCGTTCAATTTCCGTCACACCAACTGGGTTAACCAAACACTTGAGGATTTGCTTTTTGTTGATTTTCCAAGGATTTAGTTCGAGTTGCACAAAAAACATAGGATTATGAGAAAAAAACATAGATACGCACATATACAAAATCTAGTGTACAGGTGGAGTCGACTCACTTCCATTCTCACCGAAATCTGGCCAAGAATGGTTCTCATGCCATGAATCCACTATAATCCACTTATCCCCAGCTGATCTTCAATAGCTCAAGGGGTTAGGGGCTGCACCCATCCGAGTGGGATGAGGGCCACATGGATGGCATGGCACCGGCGAGTCACGTGACTCGCGTCGTCGTCTATAGAACGGCTGCGAAAAAGGTGTTTTAAGCCCAGAGGATCATCCATTGACACTATTTTACAGTAGAAATGTCAACCCCGGATTAATCTGGGTAAATTATAATATTTCACTAACCTGAATTAAGGCCATTTGGGGATGATTTCCCTTATTAACCATGATTCCAGTGAGGTCGCAGTGAGGTCGTTATAATTTACCCAGATTAATAAACCATTGTTTATTAGGGGGGTACTCCTCCAATAGTCATAATATGATACTTTTTTGTGGTATCCCCCCAATTAAACAGCCGTTTGGGGTTTATTAATCCAGGGTTGACATTATATTCGAAAATTACACATGTTTATACTATTTCACACCATTCAATCGCCATTAATGATCATTGTTCTAATATAAATCACTATATCCCATATGCTCCATGTCTGGAATATGCAAACCAACATTTGCCCGCAAAAAAAACTTCAGTTTTGTAGGTAAATATGCCAGCACCATGGTTCGCATATGGGTATGGGAAAATTACACAAGGATTTCCGAAGCACAGTTTCGGTGGAAAAGGAACATGTAGATGCTCAAGCTGGGGCCCCAGAGGATCCCATAACCAGAGTTTATGGTGCAGAGAACTTGAGACCCAGACCATCTGACATCACTTCCTGTTGCTGGTTTTTCACAAAATGGAATCATCATTGAACTTGGGATGTCCAACATTGTCTAACTACAGAAGGTGCTCATTTTTAATATGTTTACTCCAGCGTTTCCATCTCTTTTCATCCATGTTCATCTGGTTGGTGGTTTCAACCTACCCCTCTGAAAAATGATGGAGTTCGTCAATGGGAAGGATTATCCATGATTATCCCATATATTATGGTAAATATATATGTAGATATATCCCATATGTTATGGTAAATATATCTTGGGTAGATCCTAATACCTATAACAGTCAAAAAACAAATTTTCTTCATAAGTTGAGGAAGCTATTTTTTATCGCTCCCTCCGTGACACTTTTCGTGCTCTAGTTCGTGCTTTTTTTTTCGCTCCCTCCGTGACACTTTTCGTGCTTTAGTTCGTGCTTTTTTTTCGCTCCCTCCGTGACACTTTTCGTGCTCTAGTTCGTGCTTTTTTTTTTCGCTCCCTCCGTGACACTTTTCGTGCTCTAGTTCGTGCTTTTTTTTCGCTCCCTCCGTGACACTTTTCGTGCTTTAGTTCGTGCTTTTTTTTTCGCTCCCTCCGTGACACTTTTCGTGCTCTAGTTCCTGCTTTTTTTTCGCTCCCTCCGTGCTCCTTTTCGTGCTCTGTTTCGTGCTTTTTTTTGTTTCGCTCCCTCCGTGACACTTTTCGTGCTCTAGTTCGTGCCTTTTTTTTCGCTCCCTCCGTGACACTTTCCGTGCTCTAGTTCGTGCTTTTTTTTTTTCGCTCCCTCCGTGACACTTTTCGTGCTCTAGTTCGTGCTTTTTTTTCGCTCCCTCCGTGACACTTTTCGTGCTCTAGTTCGTGCTTTTTTTTTCGCTCCCTCCGTGACACTTTTCGTGCTCTAGTTCGTGCTTTTTTTTCGCTCCCTCCGTGACACTTTTCGTGCTCTAGTTCGTGCTTTTTTTTCGCTCCCTCCGTGACCTTTTCGTGCTCTAGTTTGCTTTTTTTTCGCTCCCTCCGTGCTCCTTTTCGTGCTCTGTTTCGTGCTTACTGTTACAGCAATTAGGATTCAGCCAAAATATATCCCATATATTTATTGTAAATAAAAGTCATGTTTGAAACCACCAACCATTTTCATCCATTTTCATCTGGCTCTGCGGATCCATTCGGAATCCAAGATGATCCAAGATGATCCAAGGGGCACGTTGTAAAAGTCGCCCGCTAAGCGTAAGTCTGGGTGATCCCTGGCGCGCACTGGTGCTGCCCCAGGCGAAGCAAAACACGTGTCGCACAGGGGAGATCACGCATGAAATGACTACATGGACTACCTGGGGATGAGTCAAAACCTTTCAGTATCAATTTTGAGTGGAATGAACATCCAGCCATACCAGCTATGGGGTTCACTAGTTCACTAGGTGCCACATTTGGACCCATAGCCATATGACAAACTATGACAAACTATGAAAAACTATGACAAACTATGACAAACTATCACAAACTACAAAGTATTCAACCCATAGATTCCTAAAACATACTAAAACTTAGCAAACTGATGCAAACGGACCAGTTTCATGGGATTGTTGAGTAATTTACCCACGCTTCCAACATCTTCTGATGTCATTCCACCACCCAAATCTAATGGTTTACACCGAATCTTCCCCAAAAACGAGTCGTGGCAGACCCAGCACCTGTGGCCGAGTTGTGTTGGCTCGGGTCCAAAAAGGTACCTATGGGTCCTCATTTCACCTTGGGTGGTCTAACCATATACGTTAAACTCTTGTAATCTCTTATATATATGTATAAACTTATATTATTTATAACATTCTACAATTATATATATAATTAACTATAATTATACATAATATACAATTATGTATTATAACTTGGCTGGTCCAAACCCGAAATTGCCAAACTCCGGAATCGCTCAAAAATTGTCTTCGAAAGTTCCGCAAACTTCGCCCATCTCCGAAGTGAACTTCCCCGATCGCACCGAAGGTGTCCAGAGGGAATCCCACAGCACTGGGATCTGATTGGACCTTGGGATGGCGGAGTTTGGGATGGCGCTACGGGCCCCAAACACATGGCATTTTTCATGGTACTCTATATGAAATTCTGACATGTCTATCCTGAGTTATATTTGGAACTACACCCCTAGAAAAGCGTATCTTTACAAAACACATTATAATTTCACATTTTTCTATATCAGTCTTTACTTACATGGCTATGTATTGAATAGCTAAGCCTCGCTAGTATTCCATGTCGCACCCCAACCCGCCAGCTTCATGGCCAACAAACGAGGCGAGGCGATCGAGAGATGCTTGTTAAGATGGTAAGAAAATGCAACAATATAATGTATATATATATATCCTGTAAATATACAAAAACATGTGGAAAACCCATGGTGAAACACTCGGACAATTATGTACCAATGGTGGTTCTGTCATGTTTTGTCCACATCTATGTAACTTTTCAGGAGGGTAACAAATAATACCGAGTATGATCATGCGGAACAATGACAACCAATACTGTGAATCAACCATCAATCATCATCAATCATCATCAATCATCATCAATCATCATCAATCATCATCAATCATCATCATCATCATCACTACCACTGCTTCGGTTTTCCAAACAAAGATTTGCAGAAAAACCTTTGGTTTTGGCACCCAAATGGAAGCTTAAGCTTGACGGGGTGACCAAAAAGAAATTGCGGATACCTCAGGCTTTCTGATGCTGTGACTACTCATTAATCCCCACCTTCTTTTACTGAACGTACCGCAAATACTAAAAACTAGGGTCCGCGTTAAATTTTGGGAAAATTCAGACTGGCCAATTTGATTTTTAATTGATCCCCTTTCGAAGCCAAATTAAAAATTGAGGTCCCATTTCAGGGTTTCACCCCCTAATAGTAAAAACTAGTCAACTCCAGGATGTTTTTTTTATTAGAGTCCGTCTTTTAAGGTCGGAAGAAATGTATATTAAGGTTTTAAATTTAATATTAGAGGAAAGCTTAGAAATCCAATTTGTGGCAATATTTTAATGAGGTTTTAAAAGGAAACCTAATCGATTTTGACATAGAAAAAAATAGTGTTTTTATTAGGGTGTTTCATTTAGTATTAGGGGGAAGCTTCGCACCCTAATACTAAATACCCCCTAGTACTAGAAACTGCTCCAAGTGTTTATTATTTGCGGGGGTCGGTTTAGTAATAGGGGGAAGGGATTAGCAATGGCTCTTTGAAAAACATATAAGTGTGAAAACCATCTCAAGTCAAACATCCTAGACCCTCCAAAGTTCAAAAATTTCATACAATTTCGGTACTTTGGGCTTTTGGCCGCAAATGACTGCAAAAAACCGCACATGCCGCAAATAGTTCAAATTTGACCAAGCGTTCAGAAACACATTTGAACAACATGAAATTGCAAGAATGAAGCTGACTTGACGTATCTTGGCATGCTAGATGGGAGTTTCTGCATGTTGACAAACAAAGTGGACCTGCTTAGCGAAAGGTGAGGAAAACAAATCTACCTGTTGGTTGGTGAACAATATGACTCTGACAAACAACGAAGGCGCTCAAAGAAGGCTTTGGTGCCACGCTAAAAGCAAGCTTTGCTGGATGGGATACATGAGACCGCTATAGACGTTGAAACAGCTTGATTTTTCTGAATTTGTGAAAACAAAAAAGAAGGCCCATGTTTTGTGCAACAAATGCTGCTCTGCAATCAAGAAAACTGCTGACAGTTTTCGCGCAAAAAGGGCGCAAATTTACCGCAAAAATAGGCACATATCCGCAAACGTGCGGTTCATGCATGTGACAAATCGCATTAAATCGCAGCTTGTTGGAATGAAAACTATGATTTCTGCAAACTATGCATGCTTCAAACGCACAATTTTCATATTCTTAGTCTTCCTGCATGTTTCAGGCTTTGAATCTTTTGGGGCTCCAATCACCAACACAAATTTTGCATTTTCACCAGCAATTCCAATGGCTGAATTGTGAGGGACCCATTGCGGCAACATAATTTAACCACCTGTGCCACATCAAAGGTGGCAGTCAGAACTGCTGTAAAGAGCTCACTTTTTGTTGAAACCGTTTACATTTAAGATTAAACGTGTCAATCGGCCCAAAAGTGCAGAAATCCCAATCGTACAGAATTTTCATGAATTTTCTGTACTTTGGAAAGTCCAGGATGGGAATGGACACGCCCCCAGCCAGTAGTCCGATGATTTTCCCAGCCCTAAACCTCCATTTGCTTCCAAGATTTCCCAGCCGCCCGCCATGACTCTTCAGACGGACCATGACTCCCACACCGATTCCAGTGGTTGTGTCATGTAGTTCTCAGCAACTCAAAAAAACTGAAATGACAATTTCTCATATCATCTATCTGATCTATCATATTCTATGCTTCAGTGACCCGATGACACAAAATCCTCCAGAACTCCCAACAAAACTCATGGTCTTCGCCGAGGTTCTACTGGAATTGGGGGATTCCCCAACCTCAGTGGCCAAGCACGAAGCACCCCATGAAGCAACGGTGAAGGTGCTGGATTGAGCTTGGAAGTGGGTAACAACTAAAAAACCCTATAATTGTACCCTAGGAAAATGGGATATCACCCGGTTGGACTAATGGATACTAATGGCTTGTACCATGGTTGTACCATGTCGTACCCTCGCTCGCAATCAGTGGGCTGAACATGGACACTCCAGCCATAGTACCATGATTTTCCCAGCTCTAAAGCTCCAGCCATGCTTCGGTGATTCGGTGATTGCACAACCGTGTTTAGCCTCACCATGGAATCATCCTGACTGGCCGCAGTTCCAATATCAATGGGGCATTATTTTCAACAGGTGAGAGGCTTCAAAAACCACCTTTTATCCTGACAAAAGCACTGCTTGAAAACCGGATTCCAATAACGGGTCAATTCTATTCAATTCATGCCCAATAAACCGAAGCGAATGCCCCAAAGTTAAGCATGTTAATCCGATTAAATCCCATTCCCCTAATACTAAACAATCATTGCAATTGTATCCCCAAATTTCTGATTTCATCATTTTCACCCCTACGAAACCATGGTTTCGAGTGGCTTTCTTGTTAATCGGGTGAAGATCCAACCATTGGTATACACTCGTTTGATCCATGGGAAAGGCCATCCTTAATCAATATAGGAAAACCATGGAAAACCATGGAAAACTCACAGCAAAGCTGGTAAAATTCGGCTGAACCAAGCTGTGCGTGGATGAAAGTCAAAAGATTACCATTTCAAGATGTTCAAGCCATCTTCAAACCATCTAGCCATACAAAACGATAACCAATAGTATCATAATAGATAATTAAAAGTCATTTAATATCTATGGGGATATGATGGGGATGGCTATTAAAGCAACAACGCTAACGTATCATGGTCACACATCGCATCCATTTTTGGGGATGGGTCGTCCAGCTGAGCCATGGTCAGCATGGTCATGAGGAACACGACCAAAGAATCTGGGGTTCCAGGCCCATCTTCTTCATTCTGAGTATTGGCATTGACGTTACTATTGAAGAACCTCAGCTCGGCCAAACTCGGCCAAGTCTGCGAGGACTCGAGGACGAGGACCAGTCAGACTCCGTGTTGTTCAAAGATTTTCTTGTTCTGCGTCGAAATATATAGAGAAATGGAATGATTCAAAGTAGGAATACGTGATGAAGTAGAACCAGAGTCAAGCATGATTTGCAATGGATTCTCGGTTGTCAATGGGCCAAGCCCACCATTTTTTATCAGAGATCAATCTCCAACAGTCCCCGAAGAATCTGGCCCCTTGGCCCCATCGTTGTAGCAGTGAGGTCATAGCTGGGATGGGGAATGGTCATCCAACCCATCATGAGATTCGGCTAGGAACGGTATACCCTCTGGTAAACTAACATAGCTATTGAAAGTGGCCATTTATAATTGATTTACCTATGGAAAAACATGATTTTCCATAGTCATGTTCGTTTACAAGAAGGTATCGGCCCCTATTTTCGCGGGGAATGACAATCCCTGAGCATATGGAAAATAGATGGAAATAACACATGTAACTTGACCATGGCACATGCCCAAATTTCATGCTTCATCCTTTCAAAAAAATAACTGACCATATATGTACATTATGGTATACCCGATTTTGATCAAACTGGTATACAGTATACACAATGATTTGGAAATCATTGGAATCTAGCTAAATCTCCCAGCAAATCACAGTTCGAACGAGGCCCCAGCTCCATGAACGTCTTCGCTTGCCTCCAGCGACGTGATGGATGAGAGGTCCTGGTCAAGCACTAACGCATGGGCATTAACCCAAAGAAAGGGGGATGAATGGATGGCTGGGTGGGTGGGTATCTTTTTTTTGCAAAATATCTTTTCATTATCACAAAATATCCTAGCTCCATTGGAGCTACTTAGACCTATAGGCCACACTTCCCGTGAGTATTTTGGGAGTTTGCATGAAATGCGGGACGTGTCTATGTAAATGTCAAACGCCTTTGTGTCAGGTACCTGAAAAACCGAAATGTCTTCTGAACAAAATCATGCAATTTATCCTTTTTTCATGGAAACAGCCCAGGTTGGATAGGTTTGTAGGTCGTAGTCAGGGCTCCGAAGCAGTAACTCTGGCAGGCTCTGGCGGTCCCTATGGGTCCCTTATTTTCAAAGTGCAAAAAGCATCTGGCGTTAAGACGCATTGCTGGGCAACGATTTCCCGGTTTAAATGGGAAGTCGAATATACATGTTGGATTTTCCAGCAAGCCAAGTTTGATTGCCAGAGGTATGTACAAGCGACCAACGACCTGAAAAGTCGTCAAACATCGGGATCAATACCTGTGATTCCAATGACGACAAGTATATCTGTGATTATTTCATCAGGTTTCAAAGTCACATTTTTGGAAAGAACCAATGGATCAATGGGAAAATCCCTGAACTTAGGACCCATGAAGAATATCTGGCTTTGATCACCTTGGTATGTCCAATTTCCTCAAGACACCAGACGCCTCACTGAGAAAAACTCACTAGATGTGCATCCCAGTGAGTGGTTCATATGCCACATATAAGACTAGGGTTGAAACCATATCAAACAAACATTTTTGAAGGTTGCTATCCAGATCACATCACATTGACATTGGGACATCCAAGTATATATTTGATCTGGACCGAGGATTTAAATCTTTGGTTTACATCTGTATTCTGTATTCCACAAAGGTATAATATTCGCAGACACGGGTCGAGAATGTTTCCTGTGCCACATTCCCGTCCTCTCACTGCATGAGCATGCGACCTGCAAAGGGTGATATGTGCCATGGTCAGAACTTGGTATATGGATGGCTCAGGGTCATCTGGTCATCCCCCCCATTCCATGGGAACCTAACCAGAATGGGTATTGTTATAGCGGCTACATCGAGCCAGAGCTCTGTTTCAAAACCCCCCATTGTTGGTGAACATCCCAGAATGGTTCTCCTGTTGGGATGTGAATAACACATCAATTTAGAGATTGCCCTCTGGTGATTTGACGGAAATTCATCACAAAAACCAGAAATCATCACACTGAATACTGAATGGGCCATTTTCCATTCCTTAGATAACCATAAGGTATTCGTCATTGACTCATACGAACACGATGGGTAGTATCAACCCTCTATTCATAACGCCCGGGATCCATTCAATGGGGGGGTTCATTTTCATAGCAAGCTATAACTTTCGGGGGGAAAATCGCTCCAAGAACTCAGCCGGGGTCCATGGATCTGAGTTGACATTTTTTTATCAGTCAACTCACTAGCATGTTTTTTGCTAGACATTGTTGAAATGCTATGGTTCTGCTGGTCTAAACCTTCCATACATGGCAATCTGACTTCAAGTTCGGTGTCCCGACCGGCAGATTTGGGCCCATGTTTACCAAGCTGGGCCTGACATTTCAGATGTTATATGACCCAAATTCATCCTCAAACATGCAGGCCCTCAAGTTTGGAAACTGAGTTTCCTATGTGGAAATCAGTTGTGACTTCAAATGGAAAGGTCACATGGGGTCCATCACTTCTGGAGGAGAGCCATGAAACCCATCCAACCCATGCCTCAACACGAGGCGAGTGACAGGGGCGCGGACTACGGGCCCCTAACAAAATGGCCAATGCAGGCGATCAGAGCAGAGACGGATGAAAACGATGATGTCCTTTTGGGAAGAATCACGGGTTTGATTGGTATCTTGTATATCTAGGATTTGTATTAGGCTAAAATCATGTAAAACTCACCTCTTCAGTAATCCCATGGCCCATCAATTTTTATTGAATTTCGTGGGACCCACTATGATGGAACCCCTATCCTCAGAAGCTTTCCATACAAATAGGTCTTCGAACATCTCAGTAGCAAGGACCAGTATGGAGGCTTATGGGAATCGGGGGGTCTCAACGAACAGTAAGCAAAGCGTAAACATTGTTTGAAGGCCCCTTACAACCGGACATGTTGTAGCAATCTGTAGAAAACATATCCAAAAATTCCACCTAGTGGCAAGGATATGGCATGTTTCCAGAAACCAAGACAAACACGTCAATATAATAGGTTTGGTTATACATCCCATGATATTCCCCAAAAAAATCGCTATGTCTGTTTCGGAATGAATGATAAAATCCCACAAAATCTGAACTTTCATCTGGTAATTTAACAATATTTAACATAAACTGTGGAATATTACAATGTTCAACAGGTGCAGTAATTCAAAACAATTCGTCTATAAATGGTTCATTGTTTATGTTGAGTCACCGGAGAGTAAATCAACCTCACTTCGAACTCAGCCATCACAACTTCCCCGGCACATGATGTGGGCAACCTCCAGTCATAGATATAAACAAATTGGAAACCTGGAAATTACAGTGTATTATCATAGTATACTGTATATAAAAGTATGGGGGGAAACATCAGCGAACTAGCATCCCGGAAACACGTTCCTATCTTTTGGTCACCCCTTGTGCATTTTATTTTCCAAAAAATCCATCCAACGAATACAAACACCCCCTAAATGGTCCCAAATATAACTGTAAATCCCCGACTAACCCATGGTTTCTAGGGAGCGTTTAATATTGGGATTATAAAACCACGAATCGACCCAATAAACCACCAAATTTTTGATTTACAGAGCAAACCATAGACATATCAAAATAGAAACAATTGAAACAATATCAAACAACCAAAAACGACATACACATACAAATCAACAAACACATGAAACTACAACTCCAATGGCTTGCCAAACCAGTTCTTCACTGTAATCCTTTTGTTGGTTCGCTGCGTGTGAGGAGGATGTTCCCCCTTTTGCATACAATGGTCGAAAACATGTTGCAGCGTTGAGCAGCTTGGGTCGACGTCGTTCAACGACTTGAACAATGGGATGCCATGGATGTTTTCACCGCATATGCCATGGATGTTTTCACCGCATATGCTGCATAAATCTGCATAGACCAATGGAATCCGATTCCTACTTCCTACGGTGAAATGAACAGAAGGGATTGCCTGCTTTGCATCAACATATGTCGATCTTTTGGGTCAAATCAGCGGCACGACACTGACGGTAATTTGTGAAATCCCAATCCTCACCGCAGCCATGAAACATATTCAAAAATGGAGCGAATTGTGAAACAACAATGAACTTAATTGCTAACCCTCGAGAACATGGACAAAATGATTTATTACTATTCTAGTAGGATGTTATGTAGGATGTTACTTTTCTGGCACTGCCAATGTAATGTCGTCAGCTACAAAATCATTTTTTTGTTAAAAAAAACTATAATAACTAAATATGCAGAGTGGGACTTGGTCGACGACTCTCGCCCTGCGTTCACCACAGCGACTGCATCAAAGCTTACGACGCAAGTGCTATATGGTACTGGCCCCCTCCGTTGGGCGCAACAATTGCCACTGATTGTTTGCGCAAATGAGTTTTCCGCCTGCCCTCCCATGCGCTTTGGTGTCCTGCATATTGTGGATGAAATTCACATATGTTTCACACTTTAAGGTCTTGTCCTGATTACATGAAAAATGCATCGAACCAAAATTTAAATATGTTACATCAGATGTTGGAACATGTTGGAACAGCTTATGCCGTGCTAAAAAATAAACCACTCAGCAACTAGTTTTTACCAACCGCCTTTGCCCTGTGCGTTTCAATGGATTTTTTCCACACTCCCCATGGAAAGTGTCACCATCCCTGGTTCCAAACAGTTGTTGCAAGGCCCGATCTAATTTCAGCTGCTCGGGTTTTCTTGGATGTTCATGTTGCTATGTTAGGTTGGGTCCCAGCTTCAGATGTTTTCACTCAGCCATTAAACATTATGACTCAGCATTGGGGCCCACATTGTCCTACAAAATGCACTAAGAGTCTCACAACATGTGGAAAATCTGTCATTCACAGGCATAACTGCCCGTTAACCGTTAATTGCCAATCACGAGGTCTTTCGAACCGCGTCTGTGTGTGAAACTACTATTCCCATTAGCGTATTTCGGCAATTTCCTCCCAAATTGTTGGAGGCTGAGCACGAACAAATGCATGACCCGTCCAGCAATTCTTGCGCTACGGCTTTGGCGGCTGTTGATGCTATGGCTGCTGGCTGCTAAGGCGCCCCAGCCGTGGCGGCCAACTCTTCATCATCCTTGCAGAAAGGTGGCAAGTTGAAGTGGACGTGGCGGCGTCAGTGACATGTGGTGGTTTGGCCAGCAAAACTGCAACACAAAACGTAGCAAAGACTTGGAGGGGTTAAGCGGCTGCATGACTAGAGGCTTAAGCGCTTGAAAAAAAAAGAAAGGGGCCCTGGCAAATGCGACTGGTGGCTTCACGAAAAACGAAGCAAATCTGGAATGGGCGAGCTGGCAGGCAGCAATGGGGCCAACAAAATGAGGCTGAGCCAGTGCGTGCAGGTGCTCAGCGCTCGAGGCAGGAGGAGAAAGGTGGTAGGTCGCCAATTTTTTGTTGCCCTTCTCGGCAAACGCCTTCTCGACAAACGCGCCAGCAATCGGATGGCCCCTTCTCCAACAGAAGCTTTTTCATGTAGCGTCCCATCCTGACTGGTGCATTGATTACAGCAAGCCTGCTAGATCTTCGCCCGTCAGTCAGATGGTTGATTCCCGATATATCGCAAAGGTGCAATGCATTTGTGACTGGCGGATGGCTGATACTGTGAAACTGGATAACTGCACAGCCAGTCCTTGTATCCGTTGGATAGTAGCTGATCCTGTTTATTGGTCGCTACATTGTCCTTCGAATGTCGAGGCTGGTAGAAACCAAGGAAGGCAACCACGCCCATGACAATTCCGTTCTTTTTGGGATCTGAAGACCAAGGTAAATATGGACAACCTTAGACAGCCTGCAAAAACAATGCACAAAATAAGTCCTTGTTTTTCTGGTCAATACATTGACATATTACTACATTTCCCCATGTATGGCCAAAGATTAAAGTCTTAAAGTACCCAAGGCAAAGGGGGTGCAAGGACTCCACCCAATTTTTATCTTCTTACCCTGTGGTAATCAAACATGGCTTGGTGGAAAATCCACCATTTAGAGATGACTTTTCTAATTCAAACCTCCAGTTGTTTATGAGATTTCCCACTTCGCTGATTACCGGAGAGGAATTTTCTGGATAAGTATAAGTCAGATAAGTGATCATATTTCACGAACCTGAAAAAATCGGCAATTTCATATTTTGAGATAGTTACCCTTATCTAACCCTTATTCCAGTGAGGTCGTAGTGAGGTCGTGTTTTTTTGGTCGAAACGGCATCCAACCACTGTTGTGGGAAAAATGCACCAGTTAGCCCTGGAAAAATGATCAACATGTCCAATCCCTCTAATGTGGGTAAAACACTGTCATAAACCACCCATGACTGGACTGGTTTATATATATATACCACCTACATATTTATGGTGATGACTGGATGATGGGTCCTTTTTGTTTTTCCCACATGAACGTGGATTGATAAGATTTGATCACTTGTCTGTACTGTCTACCCTCTGGTAAACTAACATAGCTATGGAAAATCACCATCTTAATGGGTAATTCCACTATAAATGGTCATTTTCAATAGCTATGTTAGTTTACCAGAGGGTATATCTGTCTATACAGACATCTGACCCTTTCAGCTCCATCTGATATCTGTCTCGCTCCAGGGAAAAAAAATCAACCGATCAGTCCCTTTCGCCATCTGCTTGAGAAAGAACCAGAATTGACATCTCCAAGCAGTAACCAGTCATCACATCCACATCCGCATCATCATCACCACCATCATTATCAACACAAAATCACACAAATCGATCAAACAACATTCATATATTGAACTATTAAACACATATCAAATATCATATATAAACTATCATCATCATTATCATTATCAACACATTTCTCATGTTCATCTCTTGAAAATCTCTTTGGCGAAAATCTCGGGACTTCCCGACTTCAGTATCCCTTAGATTTTTTACTCGACTCTTGAGACCTGAGTCCTGAACATGCTGAGGATTTATGGATGGTATAGTTACTGATATAGATACTGATATATGGTTATATATGATATGATATGATATGATATGATATGATATGATATGGATATGGATATGGATATGGATATGATATGATATGATATGGATATATGGTTACCATATATGGATTTATAACATATAGCAATTACTGATATATCTATAGATGATGGGTTCATGAATAACCAGCTTCATGGTTGGGGGGGCTCACCTATATCAAACAAGATCAAAGACCAGATTCAAGGCTGGAGGCCATGGGGTTGTCTATAGACCCATTTTGTGCTGCTTAAATTGAGACACATAAAACACACACACTACCCTCTGGTGAACTAACATAGCAATGGAAAATGGCTATTTATAGTGGATTTTCCCATTAAGAATGGTGATTTTCCATTGCTATGTTAGTTCACCAGAGGGTAACCACAGTCGTTTCGGAGAAACACACTCTTTCTTTGCAATGATCAGCAAAGTAACCCTCCGACTTTCCTGTCCGACTCGCTTTCCCAGAGCCTTCGCGTAGAGGATGTTTTGAATCTCTTCCACAAATTTATTCACCTGGCGCGCGAGTAAAGAAACATCCAAGGGATACGACTGGATTTGCTGATCCGAAACCCAAGCGATCCCCAAAGTAGTGGATTTCTCATTGAGAAAATAAGCCAAAAAAAACGACTCAGCAAATCCAAGTCATTCATCATTATCATCATGATTCCATCCCATGACCATTATTCCTACTGTATCCACCTGTATCCCATTATACCTATTATACCTCATATAGTTCTAGTTAATCATAGTCTTATAGTTCATTCTAACTAAATTAACTTAGTGTTACAGTTATATATAGTTATATCATATCCCATGATATATCCAACTATAATATATATGATTATGAGTATATACATATATTAATGATAATCGGGATAGTGTTGGATTAGCTGCTAACCGATTATCCCTCATATCTGACCAACATCCCAGAGCCGTAGCGCGCCGTCATGGACACGGTGGGATTTTCTTCCCATGCCTGGCAACTGCACATGTTCATAGGAAAAAAATATGGAACAACATGGTGGAAAAGAACATGTTAAATCCATTCTCCAGAACTTTTTGCTGTGACAACGAAAGTTGGGAATTTTGACTCCCCTAAACATGCAAACACGGGGATTAGAAAGGCTTCTCATTTGGATATTGCTACTAGGTTATCACATTGCATCTTGAAATAGGGGCATAGTACTGTGGTGCACATATTTGGATCAGCAGAATCCAAAATCGACGGTATACCCTTTGACAATCGCACATGACAAAGGAACCTCTAGCATTCACAATCCATTTCCAACTGAAAAATAGAGGGCTTCTATGGATTGCCAAACGGCAAGCAACATGAAATGGGATTGTCTGAAAGCATGGAAACCCCTGGAAACCCCATGGTCATTCATCATCTTCCCCACTGAAACTGCGAGAATCATCTTGATGGAACCTTCAGCTTTGAAAGCTTTGAAACCCTCAACAAAGCCACGTAAATCTGCATGCCTCTGTGTTTTTCTTGGATAGATGCATTATATATATATAAACACACAATATTGATATGGAGGTTTCCATCCAGTCATGGGGGTACCCCAAGTTATCATCCGTTTCACCAACCAACGTCGTGTCGATCATCCCATTTCGGGACAGTCGAAGACACAAACCTGCACTGTTGACGGAAAAACACACACACACAATCACACACACATATTATATACATTTTAAATACCATATTATAATCGCAAGGTTTACTACCAAAAACTGTTCCAAAGACCAAATCGAACAAAACATTGCAATTTCTATGCATTTTACTAAAATCGCACAACTTTTCGAATCAAGTGCTCCCCAGCTATTTATGATGCTTTCATGTGATTCCCAAATTTTAGGCACGACTTTAGCAGTCAACTCTACATTTTTCCCCCAAACAGTGTACTCTTAGGGGTTCTTAATATACCATATAATATCATATTATATCATTAAACAAACAAAGAAAATAAGACCTACAAAGTACAAACACTTGTATACCATATTATATCATTACTATACCATATCATATTCATTTTATATACATGTCTGTTAAATTGAAGAAACAAAACAAGTTAAACAGCAGCACATTGACACCAGCCTGGCACATGATCTCGATGTCTCTCAGCTTCTGGAAGTAGAAGTCGCGCTCCGTTTCCAGGCCATCCACCTAGCGACAGCAGCTTGGGCAGCTTGGGGCATTTCATGCCCCGGGAGATGCTGGGGGGTTCTCTATGTGGGTTTGTCTGAAAATAGGGTATATTCCCAATTATAGCCATTTAAGAGGGATAATGATCATTAACCATTGGGTTTAGGGGTACACTATTTTCAGACACAGCCATGTTTCTCTGATCTTGTGGATGATTGATGATGATTCATGATTTTTGGCTGAATGAGATAGTACTTACTTGCTAATGGCTCAGACTAACCGTCATCAATCTTCCTTAGAAGTGTTAGATGAAAGAAGGATAACATGTCTGACACTAACATGAAAACTGACATGGACTTCAAACAAACGCAATGTTTCAATGGAAAATTCATCTGGAAGAGACCCATTGAATGCGGATTCCAGAGCAACTTTCATGAGCGTAAATTCCAAATGTAGCACAAGTATAGTTGTAAACCCATTTGGGGCTGTCTGAAAATTCTACGGAAAATCCCCAAATCCACCAGTTTATCACCATCTTCTCTAATGTGGCAATTTTGGGGCCTCCACGTTTTTCTACGAATCTATGTGTATCCACTTAGAAAGCCCCATGAATCCTGTTCAATCAGTTCTGTAATATACATCACCCGTCAGCATTCTATAGCTGACTCCCCCCCACGCCCCGGCTGAGTTTGTCGCCGTGATTTTCAGGTCCACCACCTCCTCCCTCATCCGGTCGTGCTCCTCCTCTCGGCTGTTGGTGTCCCTGGTTGTCCCTGGTTGACCCATGATTTTCCAACTTGGAAAAAGGGATCATCTGATCATCTTGTCGATGAGTTCGGGGCCCCGCATCTTGTTGGGCTGTGGATCAAAGCCCTCCCAATGGTTTTCACATTTCAATTTGAAAAGAGCGAAAAGAACAACATGAACAAATCGCTGGGATAGAACATGGATGTTCATCAACCCATTTCAACATCCAGAGCCCCGCGTGGCGCGAATTTTTGCTCTCCGCATGAGGTCGCGGAAGCCTGCGGAGGGCTCGGAGGTCATCGTGATTCAAAAAGATAGAACCGACAAATCCTACTAGAAATAGTGAACAACAATCCCTTCTCTCTTTGGGACGTACTATAATACATATATATATCTATATATATAATCATATATATATATATTATACATCGATTTGATTGTGACATTCTTCAAGTTGTGGCTCTGCAAAAAAAAAGGTATCCAGGCCTTGGCACTTCGCATCGAATCTGAGCTGTGCCTGCAGCCGGCGAGGAAAAATGCCCTGGTGCGAAACAAGTCGCGGACTTCACAAATCATTGGATTGGTTTAAGGGAAAATCTTAACCGGAAACCATGTTTTTTACCATCAAATATAGGGCTTTCCTGTAAATTTTCCCATCATCCAATTCTATGAACAAAGCAAAAGAAGTTACAGAAGGAGGTTCACCAACAAACGTGATAATGATTTTACCATCTGGTTATGACTAACAGTTCGCCATGGAAAGATCCACCATGCTATTAAGAACGGTAAAGCATCTATTTCGATTAGGGCCATCTATACTATGGCGTACCATGGCTATGTTAAATAACCAGAGGGTAATGATTTTATATGAATTTGAATTTGTAATAAAACATCATCAGCAAGTACGTATTGCTGATCAGTTAAACAGCAAAAATATACAAACATGGTGAATCCAGTTTGTTTTTTTGGGTTTCACCAACCCATACTTCCCCTCTGGTTATTTAACGGTTTGCGAACTGGAAAACTCACCATTCTTGAGAAATGTGTCGTTGAGTTACAGTACTTTTATCATCGAAGAATTAATATGCCAGTTCCGCTATGTGAAAAATAACCAGAGGGTAGATGGGCTATGGATCACAAAACATTAGTATATCACATAGTTTGTTTATATACTGGCTGATACATAGTAATTTATATACCCTCTGGTTATGACCAACATAGCCATGGTTTGTCGATGGCCCTAATCGAAATAGATGGTTTACCGTTCTTAATAGCATGGTGGATCTTAACCCATGGCGAACTGTTAGTCATAACCAGGCCGGGTATATCCACAGTATAGAAATCAGCCAGTTCCTAACCAAAAAAACCTATTCCAACGGCATCTCATGGCCCTTCTTAGGATCGCTTCCAACATGGCTGGCTGAGGGTGGCCACCTTTGATTTGCGAAAGGTAACAAGGATATCATGTAGACAATAATTGATATACGTATATATATATATATATATCTGGGTAAATTATAATATTTCACGAACCTGAATTAAGGCCATTTGGGGATGATTCTCCTTATTAACCAGGATTCCAGTGAGGTCGTAGTGAGGTCGTTATAATTTACCCATATATATATAATGACAACACTAATGATAATAATTATATGTTATAACCAACAAATACTAGACAAATTACGGGGTAATTAAATCGATTTCGCATCAAAAAGGGACGATTTCAAGCACTTCGACTTGAACACCAGCAGGATTTTGATATATTTTCAACACATATCCACAGCAAATCGTGGATACGCGGCAAAACATTCTTTAGCTTGGCAAGCTATCCCTGTTTATGTCAACAAAAAACACTTTTGAACTACCCTTCATCGTGGCAAAACCATGACTGGTTGTATCACCGCCAGGTGGTAAGGTACTCCCAACTGTACCGAACACTAGATCTCCACTATTCAACACATGAACTGTGTATTCTCAGAAGATGTCAAGCGGATAGGTTGCTCCCAGCACCCCACAGAGGGCTATGATTTAGCCAAAAATAGCTTGGAAGAACCCTGGAACATCTCTGGTTGCTGGTCTCAAAGATATACATACATATTATGTTCAACCTGTTTTTATACTTAAACCACCCGTTTTCTCATGATTCAACCATGTTCAACCCACCATTTTTCGATGGCTAAAGCAGCATTTCTTCGGCTCACCTTTCAACAGGCTCAGGGCATGCGCCATGTTGCCCAGGTGCTGCGGGAGGAAATGATCCTGCCAGGTCCAGCAGGTCCAGCAGGTTCATGTTTTTGGGTGTTTTTGGGATTTCTTGAAGCATCAAACTGACGTTTTTTTTGGGTGAATTTATAGTTTTTGTGATTTAAGCAGTAAACCAGCAATCACGGCATTTTGGGTGAATTATGTGAATTTGTATGTGTTTTGCCTCTACTGAGAGATGACTCGGAGTCTGACATACGTAGTCTGACTTCTATCAAGAATGAAGGATTTCCCCCGCCACGTTGGATTGCCGGAGGGATTCGTAACCAGCAATCCAGTGGGGATGATTCACGATGGGCAATCACCACCAATCAATCGTTATGTTTCCGATGGAAAGGGAACGTTTTGTTGTCAATACTTGGAAAAACCATCTCCCATCTAAAATGTCCCATTTTATGTCCCATTGAATGGTAAAACACCCCAACATTCGAAAAAACATTTTCAACCATTGTAGAGAGTTGGCTGGTTTTTTTAAACCATTCATTGGGACATGACCGTCTGGCATCATCGACAGCCTGACATGATGTTTGGGACAGCACAGGTTTGCAACCAATGTACCAACCACATCTTTGGAACGCGAATGCCGTCTACATTCACATGTTCCTTTCTTTACCTTCTATATAGTATCTGTTTCTTTTTACCTTCTATGTCTATATAGTATCTATTTTCCATGGCTATGTTAGTCATAACCAGAGGGTAGTATCTGTTTCAAGTGATTTTCCCAGCTATAAACCTCCAGTTATTTTTTGGGATTTTCCATGGCTATATTAGTTATAACCAGATGGTAAGTCACTTAAATTCACCAATTTCTGCATTTCTTCATGGTTTGTTTACCTTTCCAATCTTGGATAGCCTGGAAAAACGCAGCTAGTGAGGCTCATTCACCACCCTTCCGCCAGTTGGTCTACCCAGTTGTATCAGCTATTCGAATCCCAATCTTTACTGGTTTGAATCCCCATGTCCGAGATCAGTTTCACGAAAACAGCATGAACCAACATTCACCCAGCATGAACCCATCATTTGGCACTTCTATTCATGTATATATATATATTCATATATATATATATATTCATATATATATATATATATATTATATTATATATATGCAGTGAATCATTCCACGATGGGCAAATCATGATGATTATCCCTGAAAATGAAAAGGTTAAAGCAAGTAGAATCCTGTCTGACAGCTCGCGGTTTCCCGGTGCTGGACTGGGGGATGGTTTACGATTTGGCTTTTCCACAGTATCGTTTATCTCTCATTCCACCATTTTGGTTGGCTAACTATATAATGTGAGTAAAACAAGAATAAACCACCCATTTGGGAATGGTTTATAGCACCTATAAAATTGTTATTCATGGTGATGACTAGGGGATGGTTTATTATTGTTTTACCCACATTACTGCTATCATTAATCATACATCAATGACAATAAGTACATAATCATTCTGGATTGCCGAGTTCCATTCTAGATTCACTATGAATAACATAAAATCATGGATTCTGCATCAAGGATCATTATGGATTCCCCAAAAAATAACAGTACCATCATGTACCCATCATTCACCAGTTCTATAATGAATCATGTAATGACGAGGGGTCATTATATCATTGATAGCTGCTATTCTCGGAAGGAATCTGCTTAAGGAAGCCACATCGATTCCCCATTTTACAGATTCCCAAAATTTTCCCAAGCATAGAAAAATTGACTCAGCAAATAAACAAGTTCCGCTTACCATGGTGAATGATGGGTAAATCCTGGGTACAGATCTTTTGGATCTATACAGTATGTTAGGTGATTTCCCATTTTCCAATTCTTTTCCGATAATTTTATCGGATTTCCATAGATGTTTTTGCTCATATGGTTCCCATGAATTCTTCCCATTCTTTTCCGATATTTTATCCGATCATCCCATTCCCCTAAACCATATCTGGTTGGTGGTGCAATGTGCCCATCTTGAAAAAATGATGGAGTTCGTCAATGGGTTTCGGATGACATCCCATTTATGAAATGGAAAATAAAAACCATGTTTGAAACCACCAACCAGATATTTCGATGGGATATGATGGGATGATTCACGGTTTTCCCCAGTTCGCATGTCCGGTGCTCCTTCCGCATCTTCCGCGTTCGAAGACGTCCAGAAACCGAGCGAAGGAAGCAAACATGGGGATAGCCTCGTGACATCGTGACGATTTTCAGGGTGAAACACGGTGAAACCATGAAAGCCATGGAGAATGATCTAAAAGTTTTGTGGCTTCTTGGGACATTCTGAATATACTTCAACACGTTACACCAAAAATTACTGCGGATGGTCGCGAAATCCTGCACCAGTAGATGGTTCGTCCCATGATCCAAGTCTTAGGTTTCATGCTTACCAATAGTTACCAACCGGTGCAGGATTTTGTCCATCCACAGTACCATATAATAAGATATAATAAGATATTACATAATAATGAATGTGTGATATATTATTCAACATATAATATGACCACAGTATTCTTGGTTTCAATATGGGTTTACCGCGTTTTGCCATCTTCCATGCAGCTTCTGCAATGTATAGTCCCACTTTCAAAGGGACCCTGGGACCCTTTTGTTTCAGACCTACCATTGATGTGTTTCATTATTATCACTATGAACTTATTTTTTCGTATTGACCCCTTAGCTTCATTCTCATTCGCATCGCGGAAAGTTATAACCCGAGGAATCCGAGGGCTTCACGGGTCAACTTCAGAAAGGCTCATCAGGTCCAACATGGTCCAACCATATCCCAGTGCGATACACGTAAAATCAATTGGATATGTCTGAAAATGGGGTATACCCCCAATTATAGCCATTTAATAGGGATAATGATCATTAACCATTGGGTGTAGGGGTACACTATTTTCAGACAAACCCAATTTCAAGCGGATTTCATCCTACTTCAAAATTGCCAAACCCTTTGCCTGGCCTCTCATCTGTTTGAGATTTTCTGAATGCACTTAAACGGCCAGGACGGTCGACCTTTGATACTCCTGTAAAAAGTAACAGTCCGTGGTCAGGATACTTCTCGATCTTTATCTTACAAGATGAGGCATCCATCATCGTCATCATCAAACAATCCATGAATAATCCATTAAAGAAAAATATATAGGTGAATTATCATCATCGTCTTTTACCCATTGTACTACCAACATCTACCATTTATATTTTATATGTTGCTTAAATGCCCATTGCCGTGTTAAATCACCAATCATTATATCGGCCAAACTGCCCTAGATTCTCGGGGTCGCCATGGTACCCAGCAGTCCCAAGGCATACGTCATGTTCGAAATGCCCTGCACGGTGAACGCTTCCATCCTGGTGCCACAAAATCCAGGTCATCGACAAAGAGCACTACGTCACTACATCCATCCGTAAAGCGTCCATACACCATCCAGAAACCATCTACCCTCTGGTTATGTCAAAATAGCTATTGAAAATGGCCATTTATAGTGAGTTTTCCCATTAAAAATGACCATTTTCAATAGCTATGTTAAATTACCAGAGGGTAAAATCATCCATGAATCATCTAAACATATCTAAACCATCTAAAACCATCCGCAAAAAAATCACATACCTTGTCAAGACACCAAGCATACTCAGGGGTTGCCTGCAAAACGACTCTTTTGACGAATACGTACCTTGGGGGAGTCGCTGACGCTCCAGGCAGAGTTCCTCATAGATTTATTACATATTGTAGATTAGATACAGAATATTATTATTCAAGTACTCAAAATTATCCTCTACATCTATTGCAAATGGAGTTAAATAGATATAAAATGATATAAATATTACACTATATTAAACTATATCTATCTATAATTCAATATAATTCTATGATGTTCTATCAGAAAGTATGAGGACTTGAAGAAAACGCCGCATTTCCTTACACCCTGAGAAGAACAGGCTGGACGGGACACATGACTTGCAAGATCCATCCAGTCCTCTCAGAGGCAAAATTGCAGGTGTCATGCAGAAAGGGTTCGTTCATGAACTGCAACAAACCGACCTCAAATGACAACCGAATCAACCGAATGGAGAAGTAGAGAGGTAGTCATGAAGGATATGTATGATATGTATGATCATGCATATTGTACATGATACACATGGTAATTCTTGCATATGTATGATCTGTATCCGTATGATCAAATGATCATGCCTCCGATTTCTGGGATTTCTGGAAAAATGAGGGGACCTCAAAGCCAGATGTAACCATGGCTTTCACTACGGCGTCTGGTTTGTCGATGGGGGGTATCCCCATTTTTTTAGAAACCTGTCTGGGTCCATAGTCAATCTTATTGCTAGGAATTACCCTCTGGTTATTTAACATAGCCATGGGAAATGGCCCATTTATAGATGGTTTACCTATTAAAAATGATGATTTTCCATGGCGAACTGTTAAATAACCAGATGGTAGATCACTTTTGAATGTCTTTTGGTGAACTATAAGACTTTGAGTTGTCCCAAGCGTCGAAGCATCGGTCAGGATCCTCTTGCACTGAAGTTGGTGGTAAAATAGCCGTGGGGCAGAGAAAATAACAAAATGACATTAGTTAATGATACATTGAAATATATGAATCATAACACATACATGTAAACACCAACTGTTCAAACCCCAAAAACCCACATCTGCCACCCTATTCTAGTAGAAGACCAGTGAAGGTTTTTGAGTTCGAACCAGTTTGAACCAGTCTCAAAGAGCTTCTCATCTGCTAGGACTTTGGGTGTGAAAGCGAGTGTGGTGTGACATGCCACAGCCTGGCTCTCAGCATCCTGAATTTCACCATCAAAACTCGTCAAACTGTTTTTTTTTATCTCAAAATGGGGTGGACCCCAATTCATGGTCAGCTAATTTATTAAATGTGGAAAACTGATGACCGCTATACATATGTATATATATGTATGTATGTATGTATGTACGTACGTACGTACGTATGTACGTACATATATACATATATATATATATGTTTTTGGGGTGCCATAAATTAATTGATTTCAAGACATCCTGGTGACATCTTCGGCCATCGACTTACCAGCTGGCTGGTTCGACAACATCCCCGTAATCGGCAGATCGATAAGGGGGAAAAAAGAACTGTTAGCATCTAATCGATAATGTAATTGGATAATACTACAGTTGGATAATTGGATAATACTAGTGTAGTTGGAAATACTAATGGTACTTAATGTAATTGGATAATACTTTAAGTAATGTTATCAGATTATCCACCATCATTACAGTAACATTAAATCTTTCAGCTTCATGTTTCTACTTTAATCTGTCGTCATTGCATCCTCAACAAGATCGCAGTTCACACAGGTCACAACAGGTCACCACCATCCCAGGAGCCACATCCAGTTGACCCAGGAGCCACTTGGTCAGCCAAAGGCGCTCCGTAAACCAGGTTGGAAATGTTTTGAGGGGTGAACTCGTCAAGACGTCCTGGAAATTCGACAGATAGACCATGTTGAAGCATGGTGAGCCGAAGTGAACAAGTGGGATGTGAAATAAATGAACTACACGTAAATTCTTGGTCAAAAGTTGAAGTGAACTGCACCGGAAAATTCATATGAAAATCTACAACTGTCTCTGGACCTCTCATGTTCACCAAATTTTGAACATCTCCAAAAATCCATCGCCTATTTCTCTTCGGCGCATCCCTGAATCATCTGTCAGGCCACCCATCAGACCCATCCAGTCGTCACTTTCCCCGATTTTAATCGGATCATTCATGAACAGTTCTTGTAAAAAATAATGGTGTCTGGAAACCCAAAACAAAGACATAGACTGACATAGACCAGTGCTTTCCCCCAGTTTGAAAACCACCATTTATAGTTTTTAGTTTACTGGAGGCATATTGAGCCACAAAAAGGCAGAAAAGTAACAACCCACTTTAAAAAAAACAACTATATTTCTTTAGTTATGTAATATAACAACCATTGTACATCTATATCATAACCATTGTTTATATTTTTCTATCCTTTTGGGGCTTCCAACAAACCCCCAGCCACCCCGCTCAAACCGCCGTCAACCTCGTGATTCGAGGCAGGTCGCTTCCAGCAGAGGATCTTGACGAACCCGCAGCAGGGCACAGGAGTAGATCAAAATGGATAACCTCAGCCATGGCACTATGGTTATAAATGGTTAAACACAAGCTTTATCTTTATATGTGTATTAGATAAATATATATTATATGTACATCATATCTACTATGGTTGTAAATGGTTAAGCACGATTATACTATATCTTTACATATGTGTATTATATAAATATATATATTATGTATACATCATAACTACTATGGTCGTAAATGGTTACAAGTTAAACACGATTATACTATATCTTTACATATGTGTATTATATATATTATATACATATATGAAACATCTACTATGGGTAATAATATACTATGGTTATAAATGGTTATAAATATACTAGGGTATACTATATATAGCTATTATATCAATATATTATGGCTATAAAGTTATGGTTATAACATGTTAGACAATTGGAGAACATATTATACAATGTTTATTGCATAAATATGTTATACATGAGTGTATAAATATATATATATATGTATAGGCTCGTCCCCGCTTCTGGAACCACATGGGGTGGGGGGGGTGGGGTGGGATGTTAACGTTCATGTGACCTTGCGGCAGGATGTTAACGTTCAGTGAACTTGCGGCAGCAGTTGATGCTACGCACACGCGGGGTGGGGGGGGGTGTGGGGTGGGATGTTAACGTTCATGTGACCTTGCGGCAGGATGTTAACGTTCAGTGAACTTGCGGCAGCAGTTGATGCTACGCACACGCGGGGTGGGGGGGTGGGGTGGGATGTTAACGGTTATGTGACCTTGCGGCAGGATGTTAACGTTCATGTGAACTTGCGGCAGCAGTTGATGATGATGATGATGATGATAATGACCCTAATGAAACTTGTCAATTCCGCGACGAAATTTCGTCACGGAATGGACAAGTTTTACCAACCTAATTCAGGTTTGCGCGGTTCCAGAAGCGGGGACGAGGCATATATATACACTATGGTTAATAATATACTATGAAGTTAGTATATACTATGAAGTTATGATATAAGCACCCCCCAACTAATTTCATCTATAACTGTTTGATTACCAGAGTGTATGCGCCATGGTGCAAACATGCTATATGTAGTGTGGTCATCCATGCAAAAACAGTATCAACTCATGACGATCATCCCCCAATATTGGGAAATTTACCCGGGCTTCATGGCACATATAGGAGTAAACCCTATGAAAGACATGCAACATGATGGATTTCAGTATCAACATGGTAAATTCAGCCAGCAAATATGGAGAGGGAAGCTTTGCCAACATCTTATGCGGGATTTGGGATGTGTTTACATAATAAGTAAGGACTGTTTGATGATGTTTTACAGTCTCCAGTATTGTCCAATGACCCTATTGCCTTGAGCCCTATAGGAGCCCATAGTTTTTACCATTAAATATGGATGAACAGTGGCTTTTCCTGCAGGTTTAGGGAATAAAACGCCGGTTCTACAGGGTGGTGTCCCAGTTATATTTGTTGCTTGATTTTCATCCTTTAAACTTTGGATATATATATATATCTCTTTGGCATATACGTATATATATATATATAGCAACCCCCGAAAAGATAGAACCATCTTTCCAGGATGCTACTTCGATGACTTTCTTCATCATTTGCATCCAACTTGCCGGCATCTGTATAGATGGGGTGTTTGCACAACCAAAATACATAGCATTGCTGGTTGGTTAATGATGGTTAATATACTGTTAATAATGGTTAATATTAATGGTTATTATTATATGGTTAATGATGGTTAATAACCTGGTTGGTGGTTTTAACCAACCCCTCTGAAAAATATGAATCAGTTGGGAGGATTATTCCATTCCCAAATGAATGGAAATTCATAAAAGCCATGTTCCAAAGCACCAACCAGCATACCATTGGTTTTGGCTTCACACCCAGAAAACAAGGAGTTTTATGGCTGAATCTGGCCCATGGGGACCACTCCCCAGTAAGATCTATCCAGGGCTGCCCTTCATAATCTATGATAATCTATGGCATTTTATAGTGATTTAATGGAATTTTATAGTGATTTAATGGCATTTGATTTAACGGATCCGTACCCGCAAGTGCCGCCACACACTTCCTCGCAGCTTCCAGGAAAAGCAAAGAAGGAACCTTCCCCTGTCAATCTGTAGCTCCAGTAGCATCCCGAGAGAAGATTGCCCAGCCCTCCTTCACCCGTGACAGCATGTCCACAATGGGCTTGTCCTGCTGACCCATGAAAGCCTGAACGGTATTGGTAGCAGCAAGGACCTTTTGAAGGTAGTGCACTGCAGGCCGAGTGAGAAATTGAGACGCCATTGAATGCAACTCGAAAAGACGCTCCTTCAGGCCCTCTCGGACTGGTTGAATCATCTGAACCGTGACTACCCGAGAATCCCCACGATCGATCTCTGCCTTCATGTCCTTCTCCAGCTGTTCGATGACCAAGTCCCGCATCGTACCACCTACCCTAAGTCTCTTTTTCTATTAAATTTAGTTTTGGGCTAAATTTAATTAAATTGCAAAATTTAGTTTACTTAAACTAGTAAATTGTCAACTAAAGTAATTTTTTGGCAACCAAATAAAATGCATGCTTTTTTGCTAAAAATGCATGTCTTTTGTTCTTTGGTTATCCTCTTGTGATTGACGAAAGCACAACAAACAGAGTAAATCATTTCCAAAATGAACGTGAAAGATTTAGGATCTGGGCGCAAAAAGATTCATCCACAAGGTAAAAATAGTGATGCAAATCTGCTGTTCAATACACATATAGATATGTACACCAAGGATCCTGCACAAGTAAGAATAAGCAAAGAAGGAAAACTACAGATATTTGATAGGATATGATATGGTTTGACACAAGTATCACACAATGGCTTTTTTGCGACATCTGCGGTCACAAGTTGTTTGTTCATTCTCAAGTTTGTTTGTGGAGCTCAAGAACTGAAGGTATTGAAACCAAAGAGGTATTCATCAGCTGATAGTTTGAAGCACCAATGATGTTACAATGAAAGGCTTAAACTCTGTATAGTGCATAGTTGTTTTTGGCAATGAATGCCATACATACAGTTGTGTCAAACAAACTTGTGTGCGGGGATTTTATAGTGATTTAATGGCATTTTATAGTGATTTAATGGCATTCTATAGTGATTTAATGGCATTTTATAGTGATTTAATGGCATTTTATAGTGATTTAATGTGATTTTATAGTGGTTTAATGGGATGTTGTAGTGATTTAATGGGGTTGTATGATGATTTAATGGCATTTTATAGTGATTTAATGGCATTTTATAGTGATTTAATGTGATTTTATAGTGGTTTAATGGGATGTTATAGTGATTTAATGGGGTTGTATGATGATTTAATGGCATTTTATAGTGATTTAATGGCATTTTATAGTGATTTAATGGAATTTTAATTGTGATTTAGTGGGATTTTATAGTGATTTAATGGCATTTTATAGTGATTTAATGGGATTTTATGGTGATTTAATGGCATGTTATAGTGATTTAATGGCATTCTATAGTGATTTAATGGCATTTTATAGTGATTTAATGGCATTTTATAGTGATTTAATGTGATTTTAAAGTGATTTAATGGCATTTTACAGTGATTTAATGGCATTCTATAGTGATTTAATGGCATTTTATAGTGATTTAATGTGATTTTAAAGTGATTTAATGGCATTTTATAGTGATTTAATTGCATTCTATAGTGATTTAATTGCATTTTATAGTGATTTAATGGCATTTTATAGTGATTTAATGTGATTTTATAGTGGTTTAATGGGATGTTGTAGTGATTTAATGGGGTTGTATGATGATTTAATGGCATTTTATAGTGATTTAATGGCATTTTATAGTGATTTAATGTGATTTTAATTGTGATTTAGTGGGATGTTATAGTGATTTAATGGGGTTGTATGATGATTTAATGGCATTTTATAGTGATTTAAAGGCATTTTATAGTGATTTAATGGCATTTTATAGTGACTTAATGTGATTTTATAGTGGTTTAATGTGATTTTAAAGTGATTTAATGGCATTTTATAGTGATTTAATGGCATTTTATAGTGATTTAATTGCATTTTATAGTGTTTCAATGGGATTTTATAGTGATTTAATGGGATTTTATAGTGTTTCAATGGGATTTTATAGTGATTTAATGGCATTTTATAGTGATTTAATGGCATTTTATAGTGATTTAATGGCATTTTATAGTGATTTAAAGGAATTTTATAGTGTTTCAATGGCATTTTATAGTGACTTAATGTGATTTTATAGTGGTTTAATGGGATGTTATAGTGATTTAATGGGATTGTATGATGATTTAATGGCATTTTATAGTGTTTTAATGGCATTTTATAGTGATTTAATGGGGTTGTATGATGATTTAATGGCATTTTATAGTGATTTAATGGGATTTTATAGTGATTTAATGGCATTTTATAGTGATTTAATGGCATTTTATAGTGATTTAATGTGATTTTAAAGTGATTTAATGGCATTTTATAGTGATTTAATGGCATTTTATAGTGATTTAATTGCATTTTATAGTGTTTCAATGGGATTTTATAGTGATTTAATGGGATTTTATAGTGTTTCAATGGGATTTTATAGTGATTTAATTGGGTTTTATAGTGATTTAATGGGATTTTATAGTGATTTAATGGGATTTTATAGTGATTTAATGGGATTTTATAGTGATTTAATGGCATTTTATAGTGATTTAATGGCATTTTATAGTGATTTAATGGCATTCTATAGTGATTTAATGGGATTTTATAGTGATTTAATGGCATTTTATAGTGATTTAAAGGAATTTTATAGTGATTTAATTGTATTTTATAGTGATTTAATGGCATTTTGTAGTGATTTAATGGGATTTTATAGTGATTTAATGGCATTTTATAGTGATTTAATGGAATTTTATAGTGATTTAATGGGATATACCCTGGTAAACTAACAGTTTGCAATTGAAAAATGGCCCATAGAAATAGTTGATTTACCCATTAAAATAGCATGGTCATTTTCAATAGCTATGTCAGTCATTACCAGAGGTTAATCTAAATGGGGGGAAGTCACCTTTGGAGGGCAGGTTACTCCCCAGTTCATTGAATTCATAAAAAAAGGGCCAATGAAAAAATCTCGACATGTCGAAGTGCAGGAAACTATTCATCATTCGAATCTATTCGGTAATGATGGTAGATGTAGATGGGGAATCTATAATCAACATATTACGGTAACATGGGGTACCCCCCAATATATCAAGCCCTGATTCCACCATCGTTGGAGATGAGGGGAGCTGGTCACTGCTCCCTTCATTGCTACGCCAAGAAGCTCTTGAGCCTTGAATTCTGCTACGCGATCCTGTGCTGAGTTTGGTGTTGGGTGATGTTGGGTGGTTTCATCTAGTTCTTGGAATCTCAAGTGCTCAAGTTCTCATGCTGGAGCTCATATTCGAGGTTTGCAAAAGTGGAAGAACCCCCGAATCATCCAGTCGTCATGGATGAACATTTCAATATTAAAACCCATGGTGACTTCGGGATCCACCACTTTTAAGAAACCTCCATCTAGTTCATGCGACAATGGAGGAGCCCCACGGCCAGAAGAGGCTCCAAGTGAGTGAGAGAGAAAGACAGTCAATCGCAAGTCATCTTCGAAAGGATCGAAAAGGACAAAACTATCGACTGCTCACCCTACGTCATGGCTTTGGATTCAAACCCTAGTATTCTGGTTTTCACGCCAAAAATAGCTGAGATCAATCGATGTTCACCTCCCCCAAAACTGTTAATGTGGGAAAGCCAATCATAAACCATCCCAAAAGTCATCGTAAATGGGTTGTGTACACCATCCGCAAATAGATGCAAAGGATTGCAAAGGTCTATTATAGGGTTTACCACATTAATATACGTACATTAATAGGTTTTGACTCATCACCAAATAGCTGATGTCATGATCTGTGCGGCCACGGCTGATTCTTGCTACCTGATACCTTCGTTGAAAAGAAGTCTTACAAACCTTTGAAATCGTTGCCATCTCCTGATCTCACATCTAGCTGGATTTTACACTGGATATTCTTAGAATTTATAGTTAGATAGGGTATGATAGGGTTATAAACCACAGATGACTGTGGTAGCCCTACCTGTACTATCTAGCAGTTTTCCACTCTTTACGAATGTGCAGAGACAATTCATTCTCATGTGCCATCTCCACCATGACCCCTCGACCCCTTTTAGATCTGAGTCCCCAGAATGCCGGATGGATATCCACAGTTTCCGTGTACATCTAGGATCAATTTTCTGGATGTGTGATGACCTCATGTGCTAAACCCAATACCCCAATACTACCAGAAATGGGTGGTAAAAGGAGAGGTTTGTGAACGTGTAATATTGGCTTTACCCCATTGCAATCTTACATTCAGTTTCTGCAAGGGACACCAGGGTATCACTATGTATCACTTAAGTGACCTGTCACCACTTGGCCCAAGACTCCGGAATCTTCTCTCCCATGACAGTGAGGAAATTCCGATGCTTCACCTTCAGCAAGCAGAGCCTTGGACGCAAAAAACGCCGTGGATCATCCCATCGTTGTGTCGTAAACCATCCGTAGCATTGTGGTTCCAAAAGCCAAAAAAAAATGAACTGGCAAATACCCTCTGGTAAACTAACGTAACTATGGAAAATCACCAATTTAATGGGTTAATTCCACTATAAATGGCCATTTTCAATAGCTATGTTAGTTTACCAGAGGGGAACTGGCAAATACAGGGAGAGAAGGCAAATTCCAAGGCAACCGTCCCATATCTGTCATTTACTGAGCCAAAATTCTGTACCCAATTTTGACCTTTCCCGAGATTATCATGTGGTTAGGGATGTCTTATTTTCAGCCGGTTTCCCCATTGTGGGATACATGTACCCTGCAATAAATTAGGATATGTGGGTTTCCATTCATGGGGGTACCCCCAAATGGATGGTTTATAATGGAAAATACCCTCTGGTAAAGTAACATAGCTATTGAAAATGGCCATTGAAATAGTGGATTTTCCCATTGAAAATGGTGATTTTCCATAGCTATGTCAGTCATTACCAGAGGGTACCATGGATGATTTAGGACACATCTACCCTTTGGTAATTTAACATAGCTATGGAAAATCACCATTTTTAATGGTAAAATTCACTCTTTCAATGGTCATTTTCAATAGCTTTTTGTATGTTTACCAGAGGGTATCATGGATGGTTTATAATGGAAAATACCATGAAAATGGATGATTTAGGAAACATCAATATCTTTAATGGTTCAACCATTTCAGAGATCAGGCGTCCTCCGATGATGCACCAACCACGCAACGCGTAGATGACGTTGGCCACGCTCTGGCTGTTGGCCTCATCCAAGCGCTGGGCGAGGATGTCGCCTGACACGCGAAAACATGGTGGATGGACGCAAGGTGGTGCGCCCCCCCCAGTTATAGATGGCTTAGAATCCCATGAAAACCATAGAGAATCCCATGAAAACCATAGATAATCCCATGAAAACCATAGATAATCCCATGAAAACCATAGATAATCCCAGTTATATCCCCAGTTTTGAATTAACTATAGATATATCACCAACAAAAACCATAGTGACATTGGACTTATTTGCACCAACTTGGCTAACTATGGGGCACCACCCTGTGGGATAGAACCCCTAAACGGAGGTCTGATGGAAATAATTGGGATGCTCCTCGCGCTGTTCATACATAGACTTAAACCTGTAAAACATCTTAGAACCTTAAAGACTTTAAACTGTGATCCAAAAATAGAACCAAACTGGACACATAATCTGGGTATAGCGGGATATAGTGGGGATGTGATAGGGATATGTTGCAAATTGCTGCTACGATAGCAAACTATGTTGCGGAGTCGACACATAGCCACTACCTGTATGGAGCTGAATCGGAAAGCCCCACCTATATGAAGTTAAATCGTTGACCGTTAAGCCACCAAAGCACGGTATGCACGCTTGCAAACTTGGAAGAACGTGCAGAGATCACTATATAATCATATTGAAATGGACACATTGCCAGCAAAACTTGGGGTTCGACGATGCTAAACAATCCAGTCCAGGAGCTTCAAAACGATTCAAACGACACGGGTCTCTCTAAAAAATCACATCAAACCAGGCGGCTATTGGAAGTCTGTACATTTCATCATATTTCGATATTTACTATGAGACCCAGTGCGGTCTGAATACAAACAATGGGCCCTTTCACTAAAACAGCAAAATGGATCAAAAGGGTGCAACCAAGCAGTCACACCTCCCACCTCCCACCTCCTTTACCTCCCATCTTTCCTGTATCATTAATATAGCATAATATAGCGCCATTCATGGGATGGAATGCCTTTACCACCCAAACGTAGGACTTAAATCCTGCTTTCTTCCAATTCTTCGCTTCATTCTAGATACATCTTCACTCTAAAACCAACAACTTGAGAAAAATCCAACAAAAAAACAACAAATTGAGAAAACTATGAAAATCCATGGATTTTATCCGGATTTCCATCCAGCTTCCCTTCCCCCACCCTTCCCCATCCCCGCGGCACAGAGCGCGGGCACCGCGTCGCGGTGCTGCAGCAGCGCCAGACCATAGACCATGTTGGCTAAGTCGCGACAGGTGAAGTGAAGGATGCGACCTGGCATGCCTGTCATGGTCAAGTGATAAAATATGATACAATGATATGGAAACCATGGGAAATGGAAAACTTTAACTTCTTGACAATGTCATTTTATACTTTTTCCGTTGTTTTTTTACGTAGGAACCGGGAATACGATGCCGTGGCCGAGTGAATTGGGATTTGGGGAACAGTCATTGGGAATTTTGCTGGGAATATAGCTGCAATCTAATGGGTATAGAACTGATTTGGCCAAGTTAATATGATCCATGGACAATTGGAGCTTTGCTAGTAACTCCTAGTATTTCTGGACAACACCTTTTTCAGGTTGGTTTGAACCCATCCCAAGAATATGCTCTTCATCTCAATGAATAATTCAAGATGAAACATATGGGTATGGGTCAATACCTATAGATACATTTTTAGTGGGATGAACATCCATAAATCCCAGCTATTTTGATGTGAACTACAGGGGTACTATTGGTTTTGACACACTGCCATATTGGAACCCCCCAACCAGTTGCTCTAAAGAACTCTGAAACCACCATCGTTCACCGGTTTTTGAATCACACCATCTTCGGGAGCCTGGAATCCGTTGACAAAGATCCTCCAGAAGGTCCTGGGAAGCAGGAGGAAGGAGGGCAGTTGCCATAACCATATGGAAAAACCATGGGAAAACTATGGGAAAATCATTCTCAGTTGATTCATCCATTTATAAAATCTAGAGACCCTGACCTGGTCAGGACAGATTTATTTCGGAAAGCTGGGATATCACCGCTCAGAAGTGTATTACAACCCGTTTATCCTCTGGTAAATGAACGTAACATGTAACTATGATTAACTATGGAAGATGGCCCTCTTATAGATGATTTACGTTGATTTACCATGATTCACCTATGAGAAATGGTGGGTTTTCCAGTTTGACATGTTAAATCACAAGAGGCTGTGCAGGCGTGGCCACGTTGCTTCGATCAACACATTTTGCTCAAGGCCACTGGCTCAAACCAACCAGCGGGGTCCTTCAGCAACTACCCACGGGTTATGACTAACATAGCCATGGTATAGATGGCCCATAGAAATAGATGGTTTACCTATTAAAAATGGTGATTTTCCGTTACAATTTATTCGATTCTTCAAGTACTGAATGTATGTTGTCACGGCCTATCTTTCAATAACTTGCAGGGCAGCACCTTTTTGCTTTAAAAGTAAGTATCAAAGAATGTGTATATATTATATATGTATTAATTTCAAATAATTATATAATTATATATAATTATATATATAGTGGCCAAAACTACTCACCCAAGGTTTGCCCAGTTGTGGTAGACACATTCCCAACATACTTTCCCAAAAGTAGAATCTACCAATCCATATAGTTATAATAAGTCTCAAAACGAGTTTTAGAACATGTATGAATACAGTATCTCAATTTTGAATGATTTTACCAGCATTTTTTAATGGGGATGGGTCAAAACCCTGGTACCTAGTGAACCCCAAAATAGCTGGTAAATGGATGTTCATCCCGCTAAAATGTATCTATAGGTATTGACTCATACCCTAATCAGAATTCCACATTTTTCTGCAGTACTACCACGGTGGTGGGGAAACTCTGATTGAATCGCTGCCCCTGGCTCCCCATAGCTTTGAACCGCTCCCTCCGAACCACCGGATTTTCGGTTTTGTCCCAAATGCGAGGGATCAGTTGATTCGTATCCTCTGGTAATGGAATAGATGGTCCATTTATAGATGGTTTACCTATTATAAATGGTGATTTTCCATGGCTATGTTAATTAACCAGAAGGTAAGACCTTTCTATTTTCAGGGTCTATGTTAATTTACCAGAGGGATCCGGAGGGTATATAGGCTAGCACAACATGTGGTATAACCTCCATAACAATCAACAGGGGTTTAGCCACTGCTCAACTGAAGATCAAACAACCTTGACCTTCAGGAGAATATATATATATGTGGTCATATAATCATGTATATATATATATACTTATAATAGTCATACATACATATGTATATAACATTATATAGCCGTATAACCTTTGCATAGTCATATACATACGTATATAACCATATATATATCATAACCATATATCATAACCACATATATATATATATATATATCACATATATACGTATATATATATATATATATATCACATCTAATATATCCTTCCCAATTTAACGTCCTTCTCCTTCACCTTCAGCTTGCCCCAGGCCCACAGCACGCATGCCAGGCTCTTAGCGTCGAAGTCACCCGCCTCACCGGTAAGCCCCAGAAAAAGAACAGCGGTTCATCACTTTTTTAATAGGTAAACCATCTATAAATGGGCCATTTTCCATGGAAAATCACACATAACTAACATAACTATGGAAAATCACCATTTTTAATGGGAAAACTCACTATAAATAAATGGGCCATTTTCAATAGCTATGTAACAAATTACCAGAGGGTAGTGGGATTTGACTTTTTCTATATTTTTTTTTGGGTAAGTATAGGTTTATGGATGTTTATGGTATAGATTTTTTTTTAGATATAAATGATAGAACCCCAAAACGTTAGCCGGCTTTATACGATTCTACCGTTATGCCCACTCATTTTTTGGGGTGGCACCACCTTGCAGCTTTATACGCGGTGAGATATGCATATCTTTTTCCAACCAATAATCAATTGGGTCGACCTTAAAGTTTCATCTTGGTGATCTGTGACGCCTTACTCGGCCACCACCCTGGGTATCATTCCAATATATTTTACATGACTTGTGCATAAATTGGTACGTACGGATGATGGTTATGAGTATGAACAGTAGTAGCTAATAGATTTATCATAACTATTCAATAAAACGATATTTCTAGCTCTTTTGATGATGATTTCTTGTTTTTTTTGGATCATTATTTTTCATGTCACTAAAGATGCGATGGCAATTCATCCATGTTTTCGATGGTCAACTGCAGATGGTTTCTTCGTGAGTTCAGCATATGAGTAGCAGCCAGTGAGTTGGAGATGGTGGAAACACCCGGCCTGGTTATGACGAACAGTTCGCCATGGGTTAAGATCCACCATTTTTAATAGGTAAACCATCTATAAATGGACCATTTTCCTCTGGTAAACTAACATAACTATAGAAAGATCCACCATGCTATTAAGAACGGTACACCATTTATTTCTATGGGCCATCATTTTCCATGGCGAACTGTTAGTCATAACCAGAGGGTATATTTGTATATACTATCTCATCATCATCTATCATCTTGCCATTATGGATCCAGGTCAAAAATCTCAGCCAAAAAGGTGGATGCTTTAATCGTGACCAGCCGTGAATGCCACGGACATGAAGGAGCTCGAATCGGCCGGGCTCCAACACCACGATAAAAGGATATGGGGGGTTCCATAGTCATGGGGATATCCCAAAATGGATGGTTTATAGTGGAAAATCCTATTAAAATGGATGATCTAGGGGTACCATTCTAGGAAAACTCCTACAACATCCTAAAACCTTTTTACGATTGTGAAATCTCCTTTGCAGAACTCATCAGTCATATCAACCATAATTTCTTGGTCAGAACCACAATTTTGATGGTGTACATCGATATTTGACGATGAAATCCATGCACCAGGGATTTCGAAACTCTTGGTAATATCAATGTAATATCATTGGTTATGTATCCCATTGTATCTGCATTTATAATTTTGGTTTTATCAGGTTTCACACCTCCTTTTCTAAGGCGAAACCGCCATTTATACAGTCATGTTCTTCTTAAATCACCATCAAATCCTATGAAAACCATCATTTTTCCCCATAAATATCCACACATATCCATAAATTCTCAAGAATGTCCTCCTGTCCATACAAAAATGTCCTCCAGTCGCGCCTTCCCCATCCGTTGCCGCTGTTGCGCCACCAGCAGCCCCAGACAGCGGGAGAAACACTTGGCGTCGTCGCGGCTCACTTTGGCCGTGCGGTGCCTCGGCGATATCAATGTGGCATCCCATCCAGGTTCTGTTGAAAGATGGAGATGGATGGATATATAGACAGATTCTATGTAATCTATAGATGTCATGTCATTTAACATAATCTATAGATAATGTGATCTATAATCTATAGATATCATTATTCTATAGTCTATATATTACATTATAATCTATAGATATCTATAATCTATAGACAGATAATCTCATATAGATTGACAATCTTGCTGTTTGAAAGATAGATATCCAGTTGAAATGTAATCTATATATTTCAACATATTTAACATCATATCTCAGTTTCAGCAAACTCAGCCTTAAATATATCTGCTTGGTGGTTTATTTTAACCATCTTGAAAAATGATGGAGTTCGTCAATGGGTTTCGGATGACATCCCATATTAATGAAATGGAACATAAAAGCCAGCCATGTTTGAAACAGCCAACCAGTAATCACCATTAATCATTATTAACCATTATTAACCCATTACAATCCCCATTCATCACCATTAACTATCACCATTAAATCACCATTAAATCCAGCCATGTTTGAAACCACCAACCAGATATAGTGAGATCAGCACCCACAATAATTTCGCCACAGTGGCCATGCTGCTGCCAAGTTCGTCCCATCCCAGGCTTCAGAGGTGCTCCTCAGCGCCTGGCCATGCGGAGTCAACGGATCATCATCTTCAGCCATGACAGAATTCAAACTAAGCTTGTAGATCTTTGTAGTGAAAAATTGAAATGCGGGATTGGATGCATGTTTTCCCTTAAGTGCAGCCATGTTGGTCTTCAATCCCTACTAACATGTTGGTGGTTCGACTCTTGGATTTGGGGAGTCTCACGTACCGGAAGGCTGTTTTCCAGAACTTGGGGCAGTATGTTGAAGGGTGGCTGCTATTGTGTTGTTTCACTGCCCAACTAAAGAATGCCAAACCTGGAACAAGTCAGAAGCCAATGTGAATGCCAAGTGGTTATGCTGCAGTATGCCTTCTATATGTTTTCTATGGTGCACATCGTCCATCATTGTGTTACATATCATCAGGGTGTTCTGCGCTCACCCTGCTTGTCCTTGCCCTTGAAACACTCAGGTGAAGCGGACATCTGAACGACACGGCTTTTCACTCACTGAACGAATTGTGCCCTAGAATTCAAACCTCAGCTTATTTTTCAGAGACTATAGTTCTAAAAGTTTTAGTTCTAGGTCTGCAATCACCACTCAGCCCGTTGAAATCTATACAAATCTGAGCTAAGAAGACGATTCTGCTCAATCTCAAAAACTCTTCCAATCATTTTCTTCAAAGCTTTCATGAACAAGCTGATATCCCTCGTAAACACTGTGGTTTTTAGAAACATGGTGGAAACCCAAGAAAAGACTCAGGTAAATTCAGGATGTGACAAAAAACTGGTTACACCACGAAATGGACATGTCAGTACGGATGATAGATGATACTAGTATATAGTAGATAATTAACCATGTGGATCATTACTAACCATTATTAATCATTAACAAATACCATTCATTATTGACCTTCATTAGCCATCATTAACCATCATTATTAACCATCATTAGCCATCATTAACCATCATCACTAACAATCATTATTAACCATCATTAACCATCATTAACCATCATTAACCATCATTAACCATCATTAACCATCATTATCAACCATTATTAACCATCATTAACCATCATTAACCATCATTAACCAGTGTGGATGGAAAAAGGAGGTTACCACCAAAGCCAAAAATCAAGTTTCCCCGCCACCATCTCTCCATGGTGCTGGGTCCACACACACCCTCTATGTCTCCATGGTGATAGCCAAATATCCCCAGTTTTGTAAATCTGGGGCATTCCGATCCTCAAAAAATGCATGGTTTATACAAGGTGGTGCCCCCAAGATAGCTAAGTTGGGTTATAACTCCAATAACTATGGTTTATAGGTGATATATCTATAGTTAATGGACTTATAAACCAACTTATAACTGGGGGGCACCACCTTGTATAACTCATCTGCGAACCATGGTGCTGGTATATAAAAACCTACAAAACTGGATGATTTTGTCGGAGCAAATGTTGGTTTGCATATTCCAGCACCACGGAGTATATGGGTATAGTGATTTATATTAGAACAATGATCATTCATGGCGATTTAATCACTATCATTTGGATCAAAACATATTTCGCCATGGTATATATGTACACTATTATATTAAGATATTAAGATATCGTGTACTTTTTCCAAGGTTATATGGGCAAATTTGAGATCATCATGGTATATAGTACACTATAGTACACTATTATAGTAATGGGAAGTTTACGATGTTCAAATGATCACTTGGGGTTGGGCGCCATGACTAGATGGACACCTCCACCATTAGTCCGGAGTCCATAAAAAGACTGGTCACTGGGTGACTGTTGTTGACCACGAAAAGAATGACATGGATCATTAACCATTATTAACCATTAAAAAAAACCATGGTTGATCATTATGGACCATTATTAACCATGATTAACCATTATTAACCATCATTAACCATTCAAAAAACCATCAAAACTACCTTGTTGATCAAAATGTAACCATTATTTTTATTAGCCATTCATTGATCATACGGTGACCTGCCACAGCGCTCGCGCCGAGGTCAGTCTCGCGAGTTGATTCTGCAGTCCTCGGTGTGGTTCTGCTGCACGGTTTGGGCTATTTTGGCTACCCCGAAATGGTGGATTTACTGACGATTTTACCCTCTGGTAAACTGTCCCATAGCTATGGAAAATCACCATTTTTAATGGGAAAACTCACTATAAATGGCCATTTTCAATAGCTATGTTAAATTACCAGAGGGTAGGGTGATTCAAAGGTGCTTCATAGAGATTTTATGGGAGTTTTGAAATTTTGTGATGAAAAAAAATGACTTTATGGGATTTTATTGGATGTTATGGTGACTTTATCGTTTTGTGATGAAAAAAATGACTTTATGGGATTTTATTGGATGTTATGGTGACTTTATCGTGATCCAATAGGGATTTAACCACCAAAAACCAGTATATTCATGGGAATTACTGTACCCTCTGGCGTCATCAAACATGGCTGGCTGGAAAATCCCCGAACTAAATGGAGGTTTCAATGGCGAAAACCATAGGAAAGTATGGAAAACTTATAAATACAAAGGTTTGAGTGGCAAAATCATCGAACTAAAGAGGTGATGTTTGGATTGCGATCCCAGGGGATGCAGCTTGGGCTTCAACAACGATCCATTAAGCTCTGCCAAGTGGCTTAGCCCATATATATATAATAAGTGAGTATGTATGGAATATAATATAGTATGTATAGCATATATATATATATATAGTATGATTAGCTAATATTAGCTATATATATATAGTATGTATAGAATATAATAAGTGAGTCACACCTGGTACGACGATGATTTATGATGATTTATTCACTACTTACGGTGGTATTCCTCCAACTTTCCACATCTCTTCTTCTTTTTCGCACCAAAATTGTGCCGCCCTTCCTCAAAGCGTCGGCTCATCTGACGGCCACATGGAGCGCAGCTTTTCTTTGAGAGGAAATGGCTGGCTGAACAATGCGCGCGGGAAATCCTGGATGCTAACACCAGACCAGTTCTACATGGTGGGCCCCCCCTAGATAGCTAAGTTGCTTGATAACTAATGTATACGTATAACTAGCATCTAGGGTAGCTATATCTATAGTCACGGGGGGTTATAACCAACTTACAACTAGGGGAGTTTCCTTGAATTTCTAGAGGTAAACGTACCCACCGTCAAACCTGTAGTGTTGCATGAAACCATCATGGTCAATCTCAGAGACCCTGCAACAAACTCAATTAGCAAAGAAGTACGGTAGATATTAATATCTCCATTTTCTGCAATCAAGTTGTACTAAACATTACTAAACTATCCATCGAAAGCTGGTTTCCCCACTTAAAATCCCATGAACATCCATTATTTTCTGGTTTTGCATCGCCATTAAACTAGTTAAATTGCTGGTGGTTTATATCCCCAATATCTACACCAATTTTGTGTTGGCTATATCAAATTTCTTTGGGCTGATTATAGGAATATTCTACAGTTTTTTCTTGACTGGTGGTTCATATCATGGGTTTCCCATCTGCATCTTGGTGGTTCACCCATTTTTCAGTGGTTGAATCCATTCCCAGTCGTTTTCCTAACTGTAACTGAATATCGCATTCATATGCATTTACATCGACTGGATGCTGGTTTGAACCATCTTGAAAAATATGAAAGCCAATGAGAAGGATTATCCCATATATTATGGAAAATAAAAGCCATGTTCCAAACCACCAACCAGTCGATTATATATTGCATATTTCAAATAACCCATTACATAAACAATAATTCAATCCATTGAGGTTTATTGTTATCCCCAAAATCATCCCAATCACATTCTATTGTGGTAATACGGTGCAGTGGCAGTAAACTAACAGAGATATGCAACAACCAGCCATGAAACTAGATCACTTCCGAACGGTAAACATGGTAAAGAACCATACTTTGCCATACAGCAACTTCTAGGTTTTTGTGGAGGTTCTTCCCAACTCCCTCGTCAACTGGCGTTCCTGGAGCAAGGAGATGTTCGCCGCCGGACCGGCCGGACCGCGGCCGGCAAAGCCCTCCTCGGAGCGGATGCGAAAACCGCTGATGGCATGGCAAATGGCATGGATTTTCGAGGCAAACACTACATTAAAACATGAAATATATGGAGAAACAAATATGGACATATTGTGGAATTCAAATTAGAACCTAAGATTGTTCCAAGCAGAAACATGGAAACAAATGATGATACCTATGACTTTTGTCCTAACCACAGATGGGAGATCTCACCAGCATGAATTTGTACCAACATCAAAAGTGTTGGTAGAAATACAGAAAGTACCCCCATTGGTAATCAAAGGTGGCAATTGAACATCTAACACAAACAAATGTTTATAGTTGTGAATATCTGTAAACGGTGAATTTTCCCGCAAACCACGTTTGATTACCGGAGAGTATATTAATTGTCATGGTGGAAAGCCTTCCAATTGACTGTTGCTCTAACTTTTTCAGGAAATGCGAGAACACATAGAAAAACAACCCAAAAAGATAGAAAGAGAGAACCAAAGCAACAGCAATAACAAGCGTTCTCTTGTGCTTATTATTTGCCAGCCTTCATCCTTTTTCATGCAAGAAATGTAAAGAAATCGAACATGATAATGCCCTTGTGCCGCGATCATGTGACATAACAAGTTCCAAACAATGCAACAGCTTGACGTTCACATCACTGGCATTGATCACTCAGTTCTGCTAGTTGCGACTGCGACTACTTTTCTCCTTGGTTTGAACAAACACTTAAAATTGCTGATTGTATGAGAAAACAAATGCCCTCTGGTAATTTAATATAGCTATGGAAAATCACCATTCTTAATAGGTAAACCATCTATAAATGGCCATTTTCACTAGCTTTTTGATGCTTTTTGTATGTTTACCAGAGGGTACCAGTTTGACATCAATGTCGTTGCGTAAATGGCTCAAATCCATAGTAACTTCCCTCTGGTAATTTGTGCCTTAGCTATGGAACTTCACCACGAGTTGTAAGTCGGTAAATCATTGAACCCATGGCAACATGTGAAATGATGGTACATTGTCCCATTCATATACCCATGATTGAACTATATGTTTGTTGGTTAATCCCTATTCATCATAAAATCCGCAAAGTCCAGAAAAAAAAACACCATGAAGACCAGGGTAGTTCCATTAATGAACCATGATTCACCATGATTCACCAGGGTATCATAATTGTCATTCTTACATTTTAGTGAATCATCAGGATGTTCCCATTAAAACCCGCCATGTCTTAGCTGCTCAGCCACCGCTACGCGGCTCCGGGATAAGAGGGCCGGGGCCTCAAAGGTCAACACAACATGGGCGGCATCTATGGCTATCTGATATCTTCCCTATGTGGAAAACAAAGTGGGGTACCCTCTGGTAAACATACAACAAGCTATTGAAAATGGCCATAGAAATAGTGCATTTTCCCATTAAAAATGGTGATGTTCCATAGTTATGTTAGATAACCAGAGGGTATATGATGCTAGATGCTTAGTACAACATCAATCCAAAGATGTTCAAAAACAGGATTGCAAACGCAATCCGTCATCATTATCATCATTGAAGCACATCCAAATTCGCTATGGATCAAATTTTGATCACCAAAGACTGGAAGGATCACTCATAAAACATCTATATCTTTTTGCACTCAGCTGTGGGTTTCAGTTTTGACCCAGTCTCGCTATCACCATTATGATGATTGAAGGGAAGATCTCCACAGGAAATCAAAGTTTTTTTTCATGAATTATAGCGGGTAATCCCTGCCCCCCTAATTCTAATTCCCCAATTGAATCTAGGCTTAGTAAATCATATACTAAATCCGATTTCCCCTTGGTTTAGTGTTGGTTTAGTATTCTAAACATTTCCGGATCGAGCCACTGTAAAAAGACGCCTATCCCATCTCCTGAAATACGAGGGTGTTCTTCTAGGTTTCCGTACTATGGGTTATCACAATCCCCAATCAATGAGCTAAGTCCCAACAAATTCATCAATCCAGGGTATTCTTCCCCAATTGACGCCCCCTAATAAATTGTGATCATCCCATATATCATGGTTAGTCATAATCGGTTTGCCCCAATAAATGAGCTACATGTAGTTTTGCGATAATGCCTTGTAATCTGTATATAATGGTTAGTTATATATATATATATACATAATATATATATATTTATACCCCAACTGTCCTAGGGAGCTTGAATATCCCTCTGTCATTCCATTATACTGGTTGGTTACTAGGGATTCCCGGTCATGACTTGTGATAATCCCATATATACTGGTTAGTGTAATCCCCTAATCCATTGGGATATATCGTCTCCTATAATCCGTAACATTGGTATAACCCAAAATCATTAATATAAATTAATATAAATTAACATAAATTAATATAAATTAATATAATGAATTGATATGAATTGTATGAAATCGTTTTAATCCCCCCTTTTTTAGTCGTCATCCTTTTTAAAATACTAGCCATTATCATTAGTGGATGAGTATCATCCAGTATCCAATAGATTCCACCATAACCATATAGTAAACTCCAATAGTATAATGTCTAATTACTATTATCCATTAGCATTATACTACTATTATATCATAATAAAATCCAATACTACAATCCAAAACTATAACCATATAAATTAGTAAAATCCAAGAGTATCATGTATAATTGCTATATACTCACCATCCTACATATATATATATATGATTAACAACCATATACTAATTAATATACATATACCATCCTATACACTAACCATTAGTATCATCCAATAGCAAGGGCCCCGACCACAGCACCATTGCCCACCTTGGCTGGCGCTGGCGCCTTGCGCTGCACCGCGCCAGCACCACCCGGCCTACCGGTAGGGAGCGGGAGCGCATTTGTTTTTTTTTTTTTTTTTTCCGCAGAATATCTGGCTAATTATCATTTAAATACATGTGTCGATGTCAAAACATGTATGTATGTATGTATGTATATATATATATATTATATTCTGTATAAATAGCTATATATATATATTACTATGATAATATCACTATATGCAGTATATTACAGTATATTACAGTATATTACAGTATATTACAGTATATTACAGTATATATTTATATACATATACTATATCATATAGATATCATATAGAGCACCTGCAGATTGCACATGAACCCTACTGAATCCCTACTTACATGGCTAAGCCTTACTGACTTGAGCTTCAATTAGAGAGGTAAATGACTCCATTTGACACACCTGAAAATCTTGGTGCCTTGTTGATCCCTAAGTTGGCTTCATGTTTAGTATATATAAATATACATATGCATAATAATATATATATACATATATAAATTATATATATACATATATATTAGTTGGCCATGTAAATCCATGCCCCAAAAAGTCAACAAAAACTCGAACATGGATCCAGGTTCAACCACACACCAATTGAGAATCCCTGGGAGAAGCCTGGAGACGGATTTTAAATCTCCGATTTTCCCAAGATCAGATGATTAATCCTCAGACCTGGATCTGGGAGTTTCCATAGTCATGGGGGTACCCCAATAGCTGGATGCTTTATAGTTAGGAAATGTTAGGAACATCCTATTTTTCAATGGATGAGAACTGGGGGTACCTCCATTTTAGGAAACCCCCATACAATACCCTCTGGTAAACTAACATAACTATGGAAAATCACAATTTTTAATGGGAAAATCCACTATAAATGGCCATTTTCAATAGCTTTTTGTATGTTTACCAGAGGGTATCCCCCAAAGATTTCGCGAAGATCTTCCCGGTTGAATCGAACAAAAACCGCCTCGCCCATTCCGGCGGCGTCTCGGTGAAGCGCCGGGAGGCGGCGTTGTAGTCCTGGCCTGACAGCTCGTTTCACTGGGGTTTTCGGGTGGAGGTAGTTCACATTGGTTACCTATATAATTAGCTAGTGGAGCTAAGAATCATAATGATCACTATATAATCACTATATATATAGTCATGTAATTATAGTCATGTAATTACATCTTATTCATATTTTATTGCTGGTACATCTTGTTACACATGTGCTGTAATTTGTGACAATGTTCAAGTCAACACGCGTAACAATATGGGAAGGTCATCCTAAAATAACCAATCTGCAGGCTATTCGAAGGGGTGTTGAATTTCTCCCTCTTCACCAGAGATAACCTATTCAACGGATGCAAAAAAATGATTTGTTCACCAACAGATCAACAGTATGTTTTCCCATTTTTGATCACCATTTTTTGTTGGTGAAACTCCCAATTCGCTGTGGCGTTCAACTGTAAAAAAAACCCAATTCTACGGATTCACCTTGCAATTTAACATGATATTCAAAGAAACAACACGGCCATAAGTTGAGGGCTGTTCCCCCTCTTTTAACACGACCAAATGTCATAGTACGTGTTGGTGTCTATCACACAAGATACGCATTTCCAGTCTGCCCGCGGTTGGAGTCTCTCGGAGAGAAAAGAGGTATATCCCCCAGGTTCAGACCTACCCAACTCTTGCTCGTTGTGGTCACTGGGACTCATCCCTAAAAATGAAATCTGAAGCATCTGAACTTGAAAAAAACACATGAAATCACCAGAATTGAGTGTATAAGACCCAACCCTCAGCCTTCCCCCCCTTTTCACGCCGTTTTCCGCCCTTACAGCTCCCGGGCACCGCCGTTGCCCAGCATGGTGGCCACGGTGGCCGTTCCCATGGCCGCGCGGTGCAGCATCGCCAGGTCGTCGAAGGTCTCGTGGCGGTGCTGGCGGAAGCCCAGTTCCCGGGACCCGGTGCGGACGGCGTTGATGACGCGCTGCTTGGGGCTTGGCTGCCACAAGTCGCCCCAACTGATGTGGCTCAGCCTGGGATGATGGCTTTGAAGGGAAAGAGAGGTTGGAGAAACTGTGTTTTTTTGGGGGGGAAGTGGAGGTTGGATGGTTTTTTAGGAGCACGGGTTAATATTTCTGTGGAATTCTGCTGATATGTTAAGAACAACGTTCTTTTTTTAGCCTTCTTAAGTGTCTAATCAACTTTCTCGTGGACAAATAAATTCCACTTACACTTACACTTTGCACCAAGCAAAATCCATGGGTATCACGCATGGAGCATCTGTCCAAGAAAAGGTTGATGTAAATGAATTACAGTCGTCCTGGACAAAGGATGTTTGAAAAATATGTAAAACATATTGAGTCACTTGCAAATACCAGAGTGGACAGAACCTGTTCAAGATATCCCCGTTATATTTCCATTAAACATATGAAATCGTGCACTAGTTCACATCAAACAGGAACCCCATATTATTGGTTATGTGTATAATGTATAATAAATATGTATATATATAAATATGTATATTATATATGTAGATCACTTCCGCACCGCATGAAATAAGATTCCCCATGAACCAACGCTCACTTAAGCAAACAAAACTACTGTTGACACATATGTTTATTCATTTGATACTCGTCCCAACCATAAAATCAATTACCCTCTGGTAAACTAACATAGCTATGGAAAATCACCATTTTTAATGGGTAAATCCACTATAAATGGGCAATTTTCAATAGCTCTGTTAGTCATAACCAGAGGGTAACCCCATCAGATCTCCGTAAAAAGATCTTCCTCATCCCATCCCTTTTCGGTCCCTCCCATTCTCAATCGATATGAAAAACCAGAAAGGCTTGGTGCCTGCGTCAAACCTACCAATTGTTTGTATATATGCAATGGTTTCTTGTAAATATATTGCATGATCTTAAGCAATCTTGGCTTCTCATTTTCCATGCACAAACTTTTTAATGGAACACAACTTAAACTGTTTGAAACCACACACACACACAAAAAAAACAAAGAAACCAAAAACATCAATGTCTTCCAGACTAGTCTGAACATAGCTAGATCAAAGTAGTCCCCAAAATATCTGTTATTCCTTTGTTTTTGGTTTCTTTTGTTTTTTTCCCGATGTTTTGATCCTGGGAATCCACATTCATCCTTAAACCAACTCTGATTCATCTTGCTGAGGCTTGCCATCTGTTTCAAATGCTTCACAACCATCTCCCCATCACAAACAAACCATCTCCCATCTCCCCATCTTCCCATCCCTGCGGACTCCTGCCGTTCCCGTTGCCGCGGCGCCAGAACTGTTGGAAGATGCTCCGCTGCAGCATCGCTGCATCCTTTGGCAGCGCTGCGCGAAGAAGCTCCTGGCGTTTCGCCTCCACCGACTCGAAGGTGGGCAGAAAGTCCTCCTTCACCGCGTTCCTCGGAGGCTTGGGGGGTTGGGATGATGATTATGGTATTTATATATGTATTATTATGTATTTATGGGTATATAGTTCCCAGGTTTACAACCTGTCTTTTTGGGGTTGCTATATTTAAAACGAAACATTTTTGGCACTTAACCCTCAAACTCTTGGAATCGGAAGGAGCTGGGGGTAACTCAAAACAGTGGAGACATGGTGGAGTTGAGTAGCACATGTGGTGAACATGGACATTCGGGGTACCCCCTAAATCATCCATTTGAATAGGATTCTCATACCCTCTGGTAATTTAACATAGCTATGGAAAATCACCATGCTATTAATGGGAAAACTCACTATAAATGGCCATTTTCAATAGCTATGTTAGTTTACCAGAGGGTATATTTTCCCTTATAAACTTAAACCATCCAGCTATTGGGGTACCCCCATGACTATGGAAACCCCCACATGAAATCAGTTGAACATGGGACAAACCATAGGACATGCACAGATATGGCATGATGGTGATATGTGATCTACAGAAAAAAAAATAACAGTGGCTTATTTATCCTCCGAATTGACCCAAGCAGGGGTCGCCTGCCAGGTTGTGCAATGATAAGTGTCACTCTGTGTCACTTGGATTCCCGGGGCGGAAAACATACATGGAACATGCGTGGAACCCATGCGCCCAGCGTCTTGTAGAACGCATCCAACGTAGCGCTTGCCACGACAATCCGCAAGCATTCTAGGGCAAAACCACCTGGCACGTGGGCCTCATTGAAAACCCTTGGGATGATGTTCTTGGTGAGATTTGGTGAGGGTGACCTAGGAAGTAGTTGATTCTTGCTAGTTACTGTAACCTCACCCTCAAAGACGAACTATATTCAGCTTCTCGCCCACGAGCCGTGTTTGACTTCACGTGACCATTCGCAAGTCTCCCATCCCCCATGTGAGTCACATCTCCCGTGATATGATGTGATAACTGATAACTATATAATTGGAAGTTTTATATGGTATTATCATGCATTGTCCCAATGTGAACTAATTATATATCCCAAATTCATTCCGAGTAGAGATTCATCCCAACAAGTGAACGTATATTTTTTTTACCTTAATCCAAACCTTTCCTAACCATCAACTAGGTAATCTCCCATTATAATTCATCCATAATGATACATTTACTCTACATGTTTATCAGATTCTCATTTATCCAACCGCGATTTATAACCATTATTTGTTCTCAATGATTCTCATTCATCATAAATCACCAATAGAAACCATGATTCATATCCTATAATGGCCACAGCAAATCTATTACATCCAACTCCACACCTGAATTGATGATGGTTGATTATCAACAAACAATCTCATTACTGGTAAAGAATCATAAGTGCTCATAAACAGCCCCTATATAAATCTGTTGATTCATCAAACAATGTTAGTCTAGTAACATTTCCCCTAGTCCACAACTTTCACCCCGACGGTTGATCTTCCTCATGGATAACCATTGACCGCCTGAGTCGATGATCCTGTTCTATAACCGTATCCCCATGAGATTCCTTAACTATACAACCACAAACAACCCATCACATCTCCCCCTGCCCTCCGTCAGATGATGATGTTGATCAACAGAGTTGATGATGTTCAATGATGTTCATAATCTTATCTCACCTATACCCTCTGGTAAACTGTCCCATAACTATGGAAAACCACCATGTTTTATGGGAAAAATCCACTATTTCTATGGCCATGGCTTCAATAGCTACGTTAGTTTACCAAAGGGTATATCCTTTATCTTTGCTGATCTATCTTATTTTTTGGTGAAGAGATGCAATACTTTAAGCATAATAAGCCTAAAGAACATAGGAACACATAATGGTCTACTGAAACTATGTTGAAGCTATGTTAAATTACTGTACCAGAGGGTAATCATACCACTGAACATATTGAATTATGATATTCATATTATCCCACCTTACTATCAATGATGTTATAATCAAATCCACTATTTCTATGGCCATTTTCAATAGCTATTTTGACATAACCAAAGGGTATATCCCATTCATATCCTATTAAATCACTATAAAATTCCATTAAATCACTGTAAATGATGGCTTTTCCCTTACAATTATCATATCCCACCTGAGTTGATGATGTTCTGCAGGATCTGGCGACTGCTCCAGCGGATCAGCAGCACTTTGTCGCTCACCACGAAGGCCCTGGGCCCCACAGGCTGCATGGCGTGGACCACGCTGCTCTGCCCCACAAAGGCCATCAGGGCGGGGCCGTCCAGGAAGTAGCCCGCGTCCAGGGTGATGTCCTAACTTAGGGCGGTTGAGACGTTGGGGATGTGGATATCATGGTTAAGATGTGGTTAAGACATGGTAAATACATGGTAAATACATGGTAAATGAACACCGATGCGTATTGATGATGCTTGATGATGGTTGATGATGCTTAATGATAGTTGATGATCAATGTACCATGTAAATAAACCATGATACATTGCCGTAACACACGGTGAGGTCACCATACCGGTGAGTCTATCTGGGTAAACTGTACCAACTCACAAAGCTGAATTAAGGCTAGTTTGAGAATGGTTAGTATAGCCTTAATTCACCTTTGGGATCCTTTGGGTAGAGCCTCACTGGAATCATGGTTAGTATAGCCAACTCACCGGTATCACATGGTATCACTATACCAACTCACGAACCATGATTCCAATGGAGAACAGTGAGGTCGTTGGCCTCGTTGGCCTTGTTGGCCTCTCAGAGGATACTCTTTCAGTTCACATCTTTACCTGTCAGAAAAAAAACACCTCATGTGGGTAAAACAATACTAAACCATCCCCCATATCACCATAAATAGGTGGTATAAGCATGTATAAACCATTTCCAAATGGGTGGTTTATGGCATTGTTTTACCCACATTATGTCTCACGATCCCTGGTCCCCCCTTTCCTTGATGCCACTCTCAGACGCGGGCTTCAACAAGACCCTGCCGTGCACAATGTAGTAGAAGTGCTCCTGTCGGTGCGTCACGAGGTCCGTGGAACATATGTGCCAGTCAAGTGGGGTTCATCAGTTTGTTTCCATGGACGGTAACACATATTTGGGTATTGATCAATAATAGATTTTCCGTTGGGCAAACAATATGGGTATGAATGAGAATAGAGTACCCCAATAGAATGTGCAGCCGTGTGGAAATATCATGCCAGCTTAAGAAGTGGGTTGAACATCGAACATATGGTTGCAGTGGCTCACAATTCTTACAAGGTGGTGCCCGAAAATTTTGTCTTTGGGTTTTTGATTCACTCCATTCACATTCACGTCCACTAACTATGGTTATAGTAATCTGGTTGGTGGTTTGAACCCCTCTGAAAAATATGACTTCGTCAGTTGGGATGATTATTAATTATTCCCAATATGATGGGAAAAATCAAAGCCATGTTCCAAACCACCAACCAGATAATAGTTGGACTATAGTTGGTTTGATTGTGGGTATTATGGTTATTATGGTTAATTACTATATATTTATGATTTATGGTTAACCAAAATAGTTATGATTATAGTATAGTAATTCAACAACTTCAGGAATCATATTCCAGTACCCTCTGGTAAACTAACATAATAACTATGGAAAATCACCATTTTCAATGGGTAAATCCACTATTTCTATGGCCATGAATATCTACAAACGAAAGGCCATTTGGGAAAGATTCCAAAACGACGAACTCCACGGCCCCACGGCCCCAGATCTCCTCTTCGGCCTCCATGTCGGAGCCATCGCTGGAGCCATCGCTCGAGTCTTCACCCTTCAACCTGGGGAAAACCCAAGGACCGAAGCGCCGAAGGACCTTTAAAAGGACCATCAGCATACCGGAAGCTGGTCACTTTGAAGTATCGTTTTTGTTGGGATGTTTTTAATGGGATGTTGAATATGAATTTTAACTGGGACCATGGATTAGCAATATTCAGAAATTACTGGTTGATACTGGTTGGTGGTTGGTACGCCTACCCCTCTGAAAAATGATGGACTTAAAGTCAGTTGGGATGTTATTCAATTCCCAATGTGATGGGAAAGTCATAAATAAAAATAACACATATTCCAAACCACCAACCAGTAATCATATTTCTTGTTCACTTTTCTCAAAAAAATCTATGTTTCTGACTGATCAACGCTCCCAACAAAAAATGATATCGTGATCAGCGTCAAAGCAGCGCTAGGGATGAACACAAAACAATCAGGGACCGCCCAAACCGATTGCTTATACCCTCTGGTAAACGTTTACATAACTATGGAAAATCACAATGTTTTATGGGAACATCCACTATTTCGACTGGGCCATTTTCAATAGCTACGTTAGTTTACCAGAGGGTATATCCTTTATCTTTGCTGATCTATCTTATTTTTTGGTGAAGAGATGCAATACTTTAAGCATAATAAGCCTAAAGAACATAGGAACACATAATGGTCTACTGAAACTATGTTGAATAATTTCCAACACATCCCACAAAAAGTCTCATGAAATGTGTTTCTAATCTTCATTCATCCGTCAATTTATAGATGATGTTCTTAGCTGACCTCCATGGCTTGTGAAACCGATCCTAGCAGCTGCAGCTTGGTGCCCTGGACAGTCTCAAAGAACTCGCCGGCGTCCAGGATGTCCTGGGCAGGGAGGTCTTCCTTCGAAGAGCGGATAGATCATGGGTGATTCATGGTTCATAGTAATGATTTATGGATATGAATGGTGATTAATGGTGATTAATGGTGGTTCATGGTTCATACAAAGGTGGTTTGTGGTGTCAGCAAACATGGCTTGCTAGAAAATCCCATATGTATGGATGATTAGAAGAATATTAGATGATTATTCCCAGCTAGGAACCTCTATTTGTAGTGGATGTTCTATGTTTCACTCAGACGTGTTGTGAGAAATAAAGATGAAAATTCAAACGAAGAGATAGTTACCCTCTGGTAAACTAACATAACTATGGAAAATCACCATTTTTCTATGGGAAAAAATCACTATTTCAATGGTGATGTTCCATAGTTATGTTAGTCATAACCAGAGGGTAGGGTTGGAAACGCTGGAGTTGGACAGGCAGATGTTGTTCGATGATGTGCTTGTTAAAACGGTGCTATTCAATAGCTATGATGTTTATATTACCGGAGGGCAATGTTTCACTTGTTAAAACACCAGCTTTATATTGAAATATGTTGCCCACATGTCAGCACAAGTCATGGTCAAGAAAATGGAGTGAGACATACGTAGACTCCATCGTCGAAGGTGGTGTGAGCCTTACTGCGGTCCAGGGACCACAGCTGCAGGGCATAGAAAGCATTCCACCACAACGCCATCTGAAGGAAAAAAAGAAGCAGAACAAGGGAAAGAATCCGCCGACAGTCGCCCTGAACTATGACGAACTACACAGCGCTGTGTTGCAAGCACATATACAATCCAATGCATCATAATGCATCCAGGTGTGAACCAAACGACTTCACACACACATGAAGAGCTTGGAAGCAAGTTTCTGGCAACACAAGATGGCACGTACATCACTACTCTTCTCGGTGTCAGCGATATGACCAAGAACAGAGCGTGGGCAGCGGCGTCGCCAAAAGATCACCCTCTTACGCTTGACCGTCGGGTCATGGCATTAAAGGCAGGTTTCTGTGGTGTGCGTCACCACAACAAGCAGCAGGTAAAGGATTCTTTCTTCGAGATTTGGCTTATTAAATATAATTTGAGGCCATACCGCAGATCGTTGCCTTCAGTTGTTGCTTTGATCAAACTTGTCAGCACTTTGGGTCTAGCCTAGCTTCACACAGCAGATTCACCTGAACAATGACAGCCTGTCATGTTGGTTATGAGCGGCACCTGTCAAAAGGTTAACCCGACAATTGCAGCATGCTTGTAGTCATCAAAAGCTGGATGTCAATAGTACTACAAGCACTACAAGCACGTACTTGTAGTGAGTGGGGTTCAGCATGTTGATTGTGTTACCCTTTGCACCTCAAGTTGTGACTTTTACGAAGGGTGTAATAAGAGAAAGGGAAGAGAAAGAGCAAGAGAAAGAGAGGAAGAGAAAGAGAACGAGAGAGAGGAAGAGAATCAGAAGAGCAAGAGACAGAGATTTAAAGAGACAGAAAAAGAGCAAGATAATTCTTCCTTCTCTTGGCTCCAGGATCAGCTCTGGAAAAGTTCGCTGCAATTGTGAGCCCCGGGAAAAAAACCTACTAAAGTGAACCGGGCCCTCTCACGGCCCGGTGGCCTGAAAATTTGTGGAAAAGCAAGTTGTTCTTTAATATGGGTTGACAATGTTAACAAGAGATTGCATTTTAATGGTCAATTGCCCATGTTTTTTCAACATTGAGACCTGTCAAGCATGTAAATTATACTTCAGATAATCTCCTGTAAACCAACATAGATGTGAAAAACCAGCAAATCGATCATTTTATCAATTCTCCTATGAGGAAATGATCGTTTTTTCCATGGATTTTCCCATGGTCCCGTCCCGGGCCCAGTGGTCGCCACGTCCTTAAAGTCCTGGCGCGGAATGCCCGAGCGGCGCCACCACTCGCGCCAAACGGCTTCCGCGAAAGGCTCCAGGCTCTTGTCCACAGAAAAGGTGACCTTGTCTTAGCTGGTTGGTGGTTGAGCCTACCCCTCTGAAAAATGATGGACTTAAAGTCAGTTGGGATGATGATTATTCCCAATATGATGGGAAAAATAAAATTGATGTTCCAAACCACCAACCAGTTAGGAATGATGGAGGATGGTTGATTCGTGGAGGAAATAGCCAACAATATTCATATTATATGATAGTGGATGATAATGATGGAAAACATAGTCAACAATAATAGATCATAATGGAGTTAATTGGAGTTCGTAGATGTTGATCGTAATATATAGTATATAATCATAGAATCATAATTGACGTCAATAGTCATAAGATGGTGGAATATGGTGGAATAATCCATTGATGTTGATTCTTGGAATAGCCAACAATACTCATATAATAATCATTGCCAATCTTAGATACCCTGCAAACAAATAAATTCTTTGCTGATTAGTAGATATTCCCATTGATACCAAAAGACTAAATGATGAGTTTGTATCCATCTAAGATTGCCCTAGTAATGATCATAATGGATGAACCATTGGATAATGATGGATGCATAGAATCTTCGTTGTGAATGATGAACAATACCTCCCAGGGGGTCGATCAGGGGAATGTAGTGGGAACGAATGATTCGCTGTACCAATAATGATCCATGGGAATATAATCCCCTGTAGCACTGTAGTTATTTCATGTTGTTTTAAATCCTGTAGTTAACGAATCAATGGTACTAATGTTTTTTGTTTCTTTTTTTGAATGTCAACTAATCAATGGGAATAAGTTACCTTAGGGGATTTAATGATATTGGAACAGTTGGAACATGAATAATCATCCAATAGTTAATGGGAATAATGATACATGTTCGTTTATTTATCCTCCAGTATATAAATGAACACTTCGACCCTGAAAATCATGTTTTTTTAGTGGACAGTAATGTTCCAATCTAGTTAGACCCATGATGTGGATGTAATGGGATTACTAGTGGATGTACGTCGTAGAGATGTGTGAATAAAATTGAATAAACTGATTTTGTTCTAACCATAACCAATATCTATGGGTGATCTCTGAAAATAGCGGGTATGTCACACTGTATACACGGACAAACACCATGAATACTGGGTCAATTATTTAATCTTCTTAGGTACCGCACATATTGTACATCCATGTACTCTCAAGCATGTGTGTTGCTTACTCATCTCATACCCCAAGTACACAACTCCAACGTATGGGCGTTTCTAAGCCAGAGAACTGACATTCACTTGCCATCTAATATTGTTCGAGGAAAACACCCTTTGGGGCCCGGCACATGATTTATCAACATCAACCTTTTGGAGGGTTTGTGGGGAAGCCTTTTTCTTAGTTACCCTCTGGTTATGACTAACATAGCCATGGTATAGATGGCCCATAGAAATAGATGATTTTCCCAGCGAACGAAACCTCCATTTATTTTTGGGATTTTCGCTATGTTAGTTCTAACCAGATGGTATCCAACCCCGTGGGGATATCGTGGGACATCGAACACGTTGCCGGGCTCAAATCATCGGATCATCGGATCAGAAAGTGCCTTGGAGTCATCGAACTTCAGCTGTCGGAACATGGGCACCGCATTCACAAAGACGCAAAGCACCATCCACATCACCGTGTCCTCGGTGGCTGGGCCTAAAAAAAAATTCTGACAAGTTTGGTTAGTCGGACATAAGTGACAAAGTCATTGATGACATTTAATGAAAATAACTGATGGTACATTAACGATCCAGTTCATGGAAGTTATAAACCAACAAATTGAGAGGCACCAGCTTGTTATCAACACTAAAATTAGTCAACCGTTACTCAAATGTGTGTGGCATTTTGAATATCATCATGCAAGAATCTATGCCAAGATAGAATAAGTACCATCTGGTTATTTAACATAGTCTACCCAGAACCATCCCTAAACAAATATCTTTGGCATTAAGCTGAGTCGTTTTCTTTCCTGCAAATTGTTTGGTATACTAAATGTATACAAGTGGAGGTCCCCAACCCCAGTTATGTGGGTTTGTTTATAAACCTGTTAACTATGGATATATCTACTATAAACCTTAGAATTCACCGAGTTATTTCCACCTACTTAGCTATCTAAATATCACTTAAATGGGAGGTGTTTCAAACCACCACCCTTGGAGTGACTCTTAAGGCGTCATCTGACAAAAACAACTGGAACACAACACCCTTTTGGGCCCTTTTTCATCTACAGTGTCGTCACCAACACAAGTCGTCTATCCATCATTATCTGGTTGGTGGTTGACCTACCCCTCTGAAAAATATGACTTCGTCAGTTGGGGGAAAATCTATTCCCAATATACGGAAAGTCATAAAATTCCATGGTTCCAAAGCACCAACCAGTTATGGTCATATCCATCCCTGGGTAGACAAACCGATCCAAGTCATCCAAGTCAAGTTCGCCAGTTTCAGCAAGACCACCACAGCAAACTCAAAAAAAAACACAGAAAAAAAAACCACATCTTTTACTGCATTCTCATTAATTCTCATCAATTTCATCACAGAAATTCTGAAACCCAGATTTCTCCCAACTTTTCCCAAGCCCTTTTCACCACCAATCTCACCGCCAGGGCGCCACCCGGAAGCACGCGAGCTGCGACTTCCACAGTGCTGGCCACGTCGGGGTGCCGAAGAGCAGAAAGGCCGCGATGAAGAGATTCGCCACGACCACAGCGCTGCGGATGAAGGCCACGTCGTGCAAGATCCCGGCCTCAAAAAAAAACTTTTACGGCGCCCAAAGGGGCCAGAATTCAAACAGATTTTTACACAGCACATCATATGCAAATAATTGCATATATATATATATATATATACGTATATATATATATGTATATATATATATATGTATATAATGTGTGATTTGGACAATATTCTAAATTATAAATGGATATGGTCTGGTGGTTGACTCCTGCCCGTTAGTCGATAAGATACAGATTTCACTGAAATGGACATATAGATATTATGTTAAATCATATTGTATCATATCATATCATATTATAATATATTATACTATATTATATTATATTATTATATATTATATATTATATATTATATATTATATATTATATTATATATTATATATTATATATTATATATTATATATTATATATTATATATTATATATTATATATTATATATTATATTATATATTATATATTATATTGTATTATATATTATATAATATTATATTATGGTTTAACCAACATGAAATACCCACTTATCTTTTGCATTGTTTTGCTATGATTTGCTATATGCGAGAAGAAAAATAACACATACTGTATAGGATGCAAAATTTAAGAAACGGCCAACCACAAATTCTGGAGTGCGGGACGTTGTGGGTCCCCAGTTTTTACGTCATTTTTAGCTGTTTTTTGTTATTTTTAATGCATTTATTTTATTTCTTCAAATAAATTCTTACTGATTAAGTATGGTTCTAGATATGACAAAGTTTATTCTAAGTTCATCAAGTTAAGACATAATATGAACCATTTTATTAAAATTATATACTGCGGCACATACCCTAAATCGCATTTGAATTCAAATAATGACGAAACAAAATCTATGCTACATATTGGGGATGCCAAAGCAAAGGAGTGTCAAAGGAAAGGGATCTCAAAGCCAATGGTATGTCACTGCAATGGGATGGCAGAGCAATATAGAGAATGCTAGTCGATAGAGTGGAGGCCAGTGCGATAGAAGTGGAGATATGACAGTGCCTTAGAGAATCAAATATGATATGGTTGCAGGAGTCTTGAAAGGAAGATCACGAAAAGAAAGATGAGCTGAACACCAGCTGCAAGCCACCTGATGAAACAAAGGCCAAGAAAAAGAGGACCAAGGCATGAAGGTTCAGAAAGTACCAAATGGAAAGAAGAAATTTCGTACCCAGACTCCGAAACGTTAATGTCAATCTATGTTTTTTTCCGGTGCTTCATTTTGCTTCTCTGATTTATGGAAATCCATTATTTGGATGTTACAAGGGGTTGCGTCTTAGCAGTTCTAGGTTATACATATTTAAACAATATGTGTATTCACATGGACAATTTCTTGTATGGCGTGTTGCAATCTATTGCGGATTATGGCATTGAGACGTGGAAGATTTCATGAGCAAGCAGTAACGATTCAGTGCGTGCATCTTCTCTTTTTTGTCCGACGAGCGAGACAGCTGTGAGAGATTTTGAAGCGGAACCGCTCTGGCACCTTTGATTTGATGCATTGCACCAACGAATGACGGAATTGCAAAATGATGGCGGAAGAGTTTGGGTTTGGGAAGATGTTGGAAATATCTTCTAGTCCACATCATCAAATCATTTCTGTGCGGGTCTCTTCAAGACGGCTTGCTTCTTGACCCTACACTTATATTTGCGGCTGGCTGGCTTCTGCAGCACGCCGGCTCGCTTCAAAGTGGACTTACGGGCAGACCAGGGATTGAGGTGCTGCATGTCATCTAATTTTTGCAAATGATTGTGTCGACGCGAGTAAGCCAACACATAGAATCTTTGGTGTTTCGCGTTCATGGAGTTGAATGTGGAGCTGTACCCACGGAACCACGAAAACACCTGTTCAGAAATCGATGTGTTGACTCTTTTCAGTCGCTTATCGATTGCTGGCACCACAGACGGGGAACATTTACATTTGTTGCAATGTCCCTTTGCGTGGAATTTGTCTACACACCAGAACTTGACAGGCTTCAAATCCTGTGTGTTCTTAGCCTTCTTGAAGATGCTACAGGCTCGATCGTAGAGTACTGCATCCACTTTGGGATAATGCGGTAGCAAATTTTGCACAAGATTGAGCGCAACATCCGAATTCTCTGGATCTTTCATCTCAAAAAGGCCTAGGATGACTCCGGTCCCAGGGTGTGTCGCCATGAACCAGCCGTTGTAGAACAATTTGACATGGCCATCCTTCCGAGGACGACCACCGCGAGCTGGTGCTTCATGATAGCACTTTGTGGCGATCTTCTCGTGGCCATCGACAGCGATCTCTTTGACAGACTGCGACATGCGATGGGGAGTTTCGATGGTTTGCCACCATCGGTGGAAGTCCCGAAGATGCCCTTCATGCACAGGATCATCTACGCGAATTGTGCGAAGTTTCTGAATGGAAGTGCTTGGCATAGTGGATTTCCACATGACCGACAGTTCGCTCATGACATTCCAGAGAAGACCTTGTTTGTAATGCTGCAGAACAATGCATATATATTCCTACATATTGATTGTTTCATCATGACAGACTCGTTCCAAACACAGTGGAGAAACTGATAATATACACATAGGGCTACCAATAGTATTAAGTAATTGCTCAACAGAAAACAATAATGATATATATATATATATATTATGAATTTTCAAAGTAGGTGTGAATTTGGATGCTTGGAACGGGGTACGATTGGAGGGTACGGTTTTGAGGTCATGGTGCGGTACGATGGTACGGTTTTGGGGTCATGGTACGGTGCAGTGGTACGGATCAGTGGTACGGTTTTGGGGTCATGGCACGATATAATGATAAGATATGATTATGATAAGTTTTTTAATACATAGTGCGATATGATGGTACTGCATTGGGGTATGATATGATACGGTGATATATTATTGAAATCATTGAGATGTAGAAGGTGGTGTATACCACGGCAGAACTTGATGATTGTAGACTTTTAACTGAACATGATCATTAACCATAGACACCTTATTGTCATTGCTGAAATAGTAGTTCTTGCTCTAAACCCTAAAAACCGAATCTGTGTCCGGCGGAGGAAACTACTAGACTCACATAAATAAGCGCTGTAAATCATTTTTATGTTGTGAAGATTTCAGGGTACGACAGCACATCTCGCCAGAATATCATGTATCTTATCTTATTTAGATTCACTGGTTTTGCTCAATGGGCTACGCTGATGGCCTTTGAGGCCTGTGTAGAAACTCACACAAACAATGACAAGAAAACCGCATGCTTTAGTGCAAATCAACATCAACAAACAACAGAACCAAAAAGCAAACCCAACACCAACGTACACAAACAGAAAACTAACCCAATAAAAACTAACCCTATAAAAACTAACCCCAAGCGCCAATCGAACATAAAACTACCAAGGCAACAACAAAACACCAGAACAACAACAGGAAAATGGAGAACATGGATGACACTGAAAACCGAATATAGTACTCTACAAGTTTGATCAAGCTGATTGCAATGGATGGAAAAAAACATCCTGCACCAGTTGATAGCTGTTTTATCCCATTATTTACAGGGTTTCCACCATCCAAGCTGGTGCAGGATTTCTTACATTCATTGTTGGGAAGCATGCGAAACAAATAAATGACATGAAAGGAAATAAAAGAACACTAAACGAAATCAAATGAAATGAAACGAATTGAACATGACAAAAACTGACGCACGCCATCAAAAGCACAGCAAGTGGCATGCATGGGACGGCATGCATGGCACCAGGATTCTAAACAGTCTGTGCGATTAGCAATTTGTTGTGTAGCTCTTGCATATTGGAAATTCTCGAGTATTTAGTTTCACATATTATATTCGGAGTTTGGAATTGCAATTTCTGGTTAAATGACACACAAGTGACCACATCAACGAACTCACAAGCAGACCCACGATTCGACGAGAAAAATGCAGCAAATGCACTCACACGCAAGCAAGGGCCATACAGGGGCCCATAGAGGACATGGATTTGTTGCTGTAGCCAGACGTACATGGACGCAGCTCACCCGTGGGCCATACAAACCAGGTCGTGGTTTGTGACAAGTTTTGTATCTTGTATGTCAGTAATATTCACAACTACACAAAAGAAGAAAAAGCAAACAAACGCGCAAGCAAACTCAAGTAGAAATGCAAAACAAATGACAAACAAACACAAACAAAAAAAACAACTGATGTGGCCCCTTTGCGTTTGTGGTCGCGGATCCAATCTGCTTTAGCTCTGAAAACCAAAAGAAAACACAAAGATAAACATGATAAACTCATTTTGTTTGAGGGATCAGAGGCATTTGTTTAGGGCTACTGATTTCCACCTTGGGCATACTGTATACTAGAAAAAGTAGTAGTGTGCGCGTCCGCATAAGTTACAGGAAACGGCATGGGGCCCAACATTTACCAATCCAGAAGTCATCTTTGATCATGACCCCGTGACCTATCGAAAATATTTTATTTCAAGTGGTGAGCCACCAGGGCCACTACCACTACCATCACATACTACAGTGTCAAAACCCCTCACACACACAGCCTTAGACGATTCAGTCCGCTTGTCGACGCAATCTCCCCTCATGAACTTGAAGTCTGAATGCTTTTTGTGTACAGTCTAGATGCTATATAGCACCAGTATCACATACATGCGTCCCTGCATGAAGAAATGCGCTAATATATACTAATATCATGTATTTAATATATGTGTCCAACAAAAAATAACATACAGTGCCTTGCATCTAGAGTGTGTCTCAATATTAACAGTCTACCCTTTTGTGCTGCATACATCTGCACACTTCATTTGGCTGAGCTGTTATCCATGTGTGTTCTCACACAATCCCTAGATTGCTCAATTTGCCCCCCGCTTTGCATTTGATGTGCTTCACTTGCGTTTCATGTGTTGCTATTCCATATATATATATTGATATTGATATATATATATATATATATATTGATATATATTGATATATATATATATATATATGTATGTATAGTTGTATGTGTGTGTGCGTTCGTGTCCTTATTGCTTTATTGGGTGAATTTCTGCGCCAGGCATTTGCCTTGCGTCTGAAACATGTTAATACATACGAGGCTTTGTGTTATTTTGCGTTTGGGTACCTGATGGTACCTGCATATTCCCAGTCTTGTGAACTACACCATAGTAAAGGTGTTGAATGCTCAAAAAACATCCTAAGCATCAATGCCGCTCCATGCTAACTGCGCTATATCTGTCCCCAACAATTCGACCCGACTATACCCCAAAACCGTACCACCGTACCCTACCATTGTACCAAACCGCACCCCAAAACCATACGACCGTACCACACCATACCACAAAACCTTACCACTGTACCACACCGTATCCCAAAGCCGTACCTCAAAACTTTATAAGTTGGTATCCTTTCGTAGGGTCGGGACTGTGCGAGTGTACCCCAAAACCGTAACCCGAAAACCGTACCCGAAAACCGTACCCCAGAACCGTACCCCGTACCCGTACCCAAATAAGGACATATATCGATATACCTTTTTGAGTGTACCAATACTAACTTAGTATTGGTACACTCAAAAAGGTATATCGATATATGTCCTTATTTGGGTACGGGTACGGGGTACGGTTCTGGGGTACGGTTTTCGGGTACGGTTTTTCAGGGTACGGTTTTCGGGGTACGGTTTTGGGGTACGGTTTTCGGGGTACGGTTTTGGAGTACGGTTTTAGGGTACGGTACGGTACAGTGGTACGGTAGGGTGCTTAGTATTGGTACACTCCCGACCCTACGAAAAAATACCTCCTTTTTCTGGTATATACAGTAAGTGAGACTGTTTTGGGGTATGGTTTTGGGGCGCGGTACGGTAGAGTGGTAAGGTATACGTTGGTACGGTTTTGGGGTACTGTACAGTACAGGCGTACAGTGGTATAGTTTGGAGTTGTTCAACTCCGATCCAAACTTTGCGAATATCGTGCTGAGATGGATTGAAAATATTGAAACTACACATCACGTGAATTTGTCTGATGCACTCAAGTGACTTGTGTCCGACCTAGCGCAGTTTCCGTGGTACAATTTTTGGGTACAGATCCAGGTCAGTTATAGAGCGAATATATGCGATTATGATTTATGGAATTGCGGTTGCAAATCTCTAGAAAGGCCACGCATCGGAATTTGATTTTTCACGTGCAACATGCGTAAAAAAAACATCAAAAGGCTGTATATATGAATCACATTAAATCACAGCTTAAAACCCATTCAAACTACATTTGTTCATGAATGTGTGCTTCCAAAACCACATTGAAGAAAAGCAATATTCTGAGACAACTCTTCTGGCCACCCACAACGATCGAAATAGGAGAAACACTTTGAAACAAAAAAACAATATTCTGAGACTCTCTGCTGGCCACCCCCTGCCCCTCCCAATAGCAAGACTTCTTGGAACGCGCTTTCGTTTTGACTTTTTTCAGCAAACCTCGATACTTTTGGGAATGTTGTTTTTTGTCTTGATCTCCTAGAACCCCAATCTCAGGATTTCTGGAACAGCGTGTTTCTGGATGTTTCTGGTATATTCAATGTCTTGTTGAAACCAAGACTCAATCAAGACTCCTGCAAAACCTTTCGTATTATTTGTTTGATATTCTTTGTCTTCTGCAGGGGAGCCAAGACTTCCGGAAAACTAGTCTTAAAAGCAAAAAACACTTTTCAGCTGCAATAACTATTTGTACTTTTTTGAAAGGAATGCTGGTTGTTTACGAGTTTGCATTGTCAGAAACACACCACTTTCTGACAGGAATACTGCAATGGTTTGTAGCGCAATTTCACTGCTTGAAAAGAACACCGAACTTGAAGAGCGCTACCCTTTCAAAAGGATTTGTCAAAGAAATACTTTTTTAAGCATTGCAGTTGTCGACAGAATAGCATACTATATGTCAAAAGGAATTCCATGTTTTCTGCAGGGAATACTTGATATTTTGAACAAGTACTATTTCTTTGAAAAACACCGCATCTCTCAAATGAAAACTGTGTGTATCAGACACTGCACATCTTTAACTGACAGCTGTATCTTTCAAAGGAATGCTTCAAATACAAACAGAAAATCTGCTGAATGTTGCCTGCATTTTTGAATTGAACATTGCATTGGTTCAATCCATGTTTCATATTTGGCCGATGTGTTCTGTACATAAAGCACTGCCCTGGAGGAATATTGCACCCATTGAAGAAAGATGCATGTTTTGAATGGACATTTTTTATATAAACTTGCATTATTGCACAGAAATCTACATATTTCCTCAGGCATTTACCTTTGAAAAGAACCGGCCTTGTTTATAAACAATTGCATACCCTTTTGAAAGAACATTGCGCATGTGGAAACGGAACAGTTATTTTCTTGAAGGAAGACTTCTTCTTTGAGAGAAATGATCACTGAGCGCTGTTTCTGGAGTACTGAGTACTGAGTATGCCTATCTTATTTGGGCATATCTATATAACATGTAAATTTGTATAGTCAAAAAGGAATGATCAGTTGAACTCCCTTATCAAAACCAAGAATTTATACAATAATCTTACTTCTCTCAAAGGTCAAATACTGCACCTTCTTAAGAGGATACAGGACACTGAACTGTTTGTTGGAGTTGCACACCAATATGCGGGCAAGTGTGACGCCCTCTTATTCTGAGACATGCTCTTTCAAAAAGACTATGCGTTTTACTGTGTGCCCGCAATCCAATGTGCGCAAAACAATTTCCGATCTTTAGAACCTACATTGACATAGACTTAAAGACAAACCATTATAAATCTTAAATCCCCCTCAATGGCAACCCCTTATTTAAGACACCATAAGACATCAATATTACTTTACCCCAGCTCACTCTCTCCTTTACATTGTTTTGGGCACCAGTTTTGACCGGTTTTTGCTTTGGGATGTTTATCTTCCACAAGGTATCGTATCAACATCTCACCACGCCATTACAGTGCACCGCAGAATTCCCTACCAACATCGCGTCGCACCAACATGCCACATCATGCTACATCACCATAGCGTACCAGCATCTTATCTCACCCGCGTGCCTTACCAACACATCGCAAAAACACCGTACTGCACCAGCATCTCATCCCGCAACACAAACGACTCACTGCACCACTGTATCGCACCAATTTACCATACCAACATTCAATCGCACCATGCCACCGTACTGTACCAGATAACACTGAACCACCGCCACTGCACCACCTTACCATCATTTGACAGTGCCACTTCCATCGCACCACCGTACCGTACCATCATTTAACCGTACCACTTCCATCGCACCACCGTACCGTACCATCATTTAACCGTACCGCTTCCATCGCACCACCGTACCGTACCATCATTTAACCGTACCACTTCCATCGCACCACCGTACCGTACCATCATTTAACCGTACTACTTCCATCGTACCGCCGTACCGTACCATCATTTAACCGTACCACTTCCATCGTACCGCCGTCCCGTACCATCATTTAACCGTACCCAGACACTGTATGTACCCTACATTCCATACAGAACAAAAAGTGCATTACACCTACTTTGGCAAATCATAATATATATATGAATATTCTCTTACATACATATACGAAAATTAAATATATATATATATATATATGTACTGCATCAGACTGGTTAATAGATTGAAGCAATTTTTTTCATCCATACCAAGAGACGAGCCAATGCATAGTCCTTGTGAAATCGAGCATGTGCATGGTCATCTGCCCATAATGCGTTCGTTTGGGACCAGGCGATGGCGTGATTGCTCAAGTAGCCTCTGAATTGCAGGGCATCGTGATAAGCAAGGAAGGAGACGTGGAACCCGGTGTTGGCGGTCACGAAGATATACTCGGCCTGGTTGGGATCGAGCGAATTGGTCTTGATGCCGTTGCTCCACACGAAGTTGTAGTAGTGGGAGGCTTGGCATGACTTCTGTCCACATCGCATAGGCTGGTGCAGGACAGTCTCGGGACCTTCGAGTCTATAAACTGTTGCCGTAGAGAACTGTTTGCGCTTGGGATATAGACAAGATCCACACAGAGCACAATTCTTGAGGGGTGTTCGCACGGACTTCACTGTGGAGGATCCATCCGCACGGCCACGACCTTGCAAGTGATATGCCTCTGACATCGACATTTCCGTCTTCAAGTGCATCTGTTTCAGTTCGAAGAAAGTCAATGCATCAGATTTTTCCAAAGCAGATGCAAAGGTTTCCCATCGAGCAGTCACTTCGAAAGAAGGAATCTCAGAATCAAATAGCCTTGCCTCATCCTCAATCATCACAAAGGACCACCAGTGTCCTTGACATTCTCCAGAACGTTCATGACAAAGGATCGGGTGCGCTGGGACAACGGAGAGCAACTCATCCTTGGAGATGCAATGCAATTGCCAAGCAGTGTCGGCTGCAGAGTCTGCATCTGCCAAAGCTCCATTGAATTGATGAGCGGAAAGCGAGGACTCTGGCTTGTCTTGCAAAACTTGGCGCAAACTACTGAGATCAACATGAGGTGCAACACCTTGAACAGCAAAGAGCAAACAGTTTGCCGGAGTGGAAGGAATTTCGACTTCCATCATGTTCACGATGTTCTTGCGCACCAACATATGCAAGAAAGTCTTCATACTTTGCGGCTCACTTTTGATCTCGACGGGGATGATGTTGTGGGAAGTTTCTGCGCAAGCACGATGCAACCAAAAGAGATCTTGCACAGATGTGCACGACACAATGCCTCCGTCAAAGAGAGCAACCTCCATTTTCACATGCGCATGGGTCCGAATGGTGTCCAATAGGTCAGCTTCATCGAATGATAGCAAAGAACAAGGCCGACTGAATTCAGGATGTCTGCGATCATTGTACAAATCAGAAAGATGAGTATGTCTGTGATCTTGTAGAATCAGATGAGCAGCTGCCTGAACTTCTTCCCCAAGCTTGCGGAGCCATGGAATATCGAAACGCGGGTTGCCACCGTAGAAGATGCGGATAAGTTCCTTTTTTGCCTCCTGGACATCAACGCAAAGATACTGAGCCAAAACTGACCGCCATGACTTGTAGTTCTCACAGAAGAGACGAAGCATCTGGAAACTACCTGCCTCGTCCAATCCCATATCTCGAAGTTTTCGCAAGAGAAGACGAGGATGGCAACAAGCTGCATCAATCTCAATGGCATGGGGGAAGGCTTTTCCACGAGCTTCTCGAGTGAGTTTTTGTGCAGCAGGGCCACGAGCAAGTAAACGACCATAATTGGGGGCCTTGTAGTACCCGACAGAGACAGTAGAAAAGCGCCCCACGCGAACTCCTTCAGAAGCATGACGATCAACATAGGCCCGAAGCTGCGAAGTCCTTCTGTCTGAGCCACTTTCCAAGTAGGCTTGCAAAGCCTCCAAGTCCACTGTTTCCTGCAATGTTGCTACAGTCGGCCGGATTTGAGATGAGAGACTTCCGTGATGCGTGACATTTCCTTGACATTCATTTTGCAAGTCCACAAAGAGATTTGACTCCCATTCTTGCTGCAGATGCCGCAGATCAAAGGTGCAGCCCCAATCTTTCCACTGACCGAAAGCAAGCGCACCACCATGAGCATCCATAGCTGCAGCCAAAGAAGCCTAATCCACCAAGAGTTTCTCGAAAGCATGCTGATCATGTTGACGAAAGAGTTTGATGGTGGAGTGGTCCAAGGCAGAAAGAAAGAACTGCAACTTGGTTCGTCGACCACGGGTAGACTGCACAGCTCCTGGAATATCTTCAACCTTTGAAATGAGATACTCCTTGATGAATGTCTTCATGGGCGTTTTCCGATGCACGATCGTGATCAATTCGTCGTTCTCTGTCTGGAGGTCAATGTCTGTGCCTGGAGGAGGGCCATTCCAGCCGGACAAGCGAGAAGCCAACCAATTGGTGTCGTTGACCAAGTCCTCATGTACATGGCTAAGATCCAGGATCATTTTCAAACATTCATCCAAAGAGTTTTCCTGAAAGAAGGGCAAGCACCAATCTCGAAAGAAACATGAAGCCGTTGCAGGATGTGTCAAGAAAGGGACCAGCTCATCTTGCGGAATGAGACGGAAAACCCCGTGTTCATAGTTCACTGCATGGTCGTCAAGCACGAAGCGAGCCTTCCCCATACGAAAGCAAACGATGCGACGCTTGAGATGCTCACAAGCCTGGAGTCGATCTCGACACTCCTCGATGGTCGGGATGTTCTCAAAGTTGAGTTCCTGAACTTTCATAGATGACCCAAATCGTCGTTTGGATGTAAATCCATAATTGACACGACAATCTATTTCTTCATCGACGATGAATCTTTTCCAAAGATCTGCAACGAATCTTGCGTGCTGATCCATTTCCTGGATACGCACATTCGCCTTGTTCCATGCGAACTCGGCAGACTTGCGGAACTCCTGTCGATCCAAGAACACGCCACAATCCAAAGTTGCAGATTGATCTTCACCTAATACAGCACGATCAAGATAAGCTTCCATCCCCTTGCCATCGCCGCCTTTGCCAATCTCGAAGATCATCTTTGAAGTGCAAGCCTTTTTGAATGCGGCATGTAAAAAACAAAGTTTCACTTGAAAGATATGTTCGTTCTGAAAGTAGAGCGACTCCAAGAACAAACGTAATCCTTCTTGATGCTGTTGGAGATTGATGTTCGGATACTCCTGCAAGAGGTTTTCTATGTAGAAGGCATAGTCCACATGCATGTAGCAGTCATTGGACGGGCTTTTGCTTGCAGGTTTCCAATCTGCATCCAAGTACACGTCTCTGAAGCAAACACCCTGTGACTTTGGCAATGGAGTATCCCATTCAAGAAGAAAAAGCTTTGAGAGTGACTGGACCTTGTTCGAATCCCAATTCACTCGGAATGAAGCTAGCATGTCTGCACATCGACGAAGCCAAAGTGCTTTCCATGCCTTGTTGGATGTGACTTGCCGCAGATGGTCACTTGCTTCTTTGGCCACATTCCCGAAGAAATGGAGAGCGTCATGGACATGTCCTTGGATCGTATCAGAGACAACATCCCGAATAGCATTCCAATTCCATGCTGGTCTTGCATCTCCTTCTTGATCTTCGAAGTGCTTCGAGACGGTCAACAACAAACCTTCAACAGCAAGAAATAGATCCCAGACTTCGATGGTGAGAGACGGCTTCATCTTCCACACACCATTCTCATAGTAGAACATTTGACGATCATGTGCACGCCAGTGTTCACCATCAACAAGCATAATGAGAAGAAGCTTCTGCTTCGTCGACATTTGGTAGTTGGAAACATTCATGGATGCGATGCAGTTCATGAGCTCCATCATTGTGCGAACATGGACAGGAAGATTTGGATAATTGTTGCTACCCCATGTGCGATAGTTCTTCCATACATCCAAGAGTGATTTGGCTTGTTCAGGTCGAACATCAGGAGGAGGAGGAGCGAGATGGGCAGAGCGCTGCACATCGGAAAACGCACGGAACCTGAAAGAAAAGCAGGAGACAACTCAAGTCTATGAAGCGGTATGCCACAGCCATATGAACAACATGAAATACGAAACTGTATGGCTAGAGAAATCCGAATACTGGAAAGCTGGAAACATACGTCCGAGAAACAGATCACGACCACATAGACGCTTCGCAGGAGGCGCATCGATTTCGGGCGGTTGCACTTCGGGCGATGAGGCTTGGAGATGTGCTCCATCCGGATAGTCGGCGTCCATCGCCATCTCGATCTCTTGAGTCAACCCCACTGACTCAGACATGAGCAACGATGGACGCACAAAAGACAAAACTTAGGAAGTTCGTGAGCTGGTCAGGCGTGCTGCGGGAGAGTAAACATATGAAACACAAACATGATCGACGAGACTGTCGAAGTTCATGCGCACATAAGTAATATGCGGACCAATACTTGACAGGCAAAGATGAATGCTGACAGTCGAGAACACTCGAAAGACAACATCTAACACAAATCAAAAATGCGGCTGCCAATGTTGACATGGAATGATGAATGCAGAGTTTCGAGAATGTTTGGAAAACAACATGCAACGCAAGACAGAGTGCACGTAATTTCTTTTCCGACCATCCAAGTCCAATCGCTAGCACGGAGAGACATATGCTGATACGTCTTTCCATGACGTGTTCATAAATGTGGCATCACTGGAACAATCGCCCGAGACGATCAAGTCCATACTAATTGCAAGAAAAGAAGATTGGCATTGATCCATTCACTATCTGCACAGTCATCAGCGGGATCAGGTAACATCGGACGAAAACGAGCATGCTCATCGACCTCGAATGGGCAAAGTCGACGAACGATGCGGTGAAGATCTTGCCGACGGCCTTCTTCGTCACAGACTTGGATGGAACGTAACAGCTCTCTGGCTCGTTGCATTTGTCGTTCCCAGATGTTCTTTGGCACGATGTCATCGACGCGAGGGATGAAAGGTTGAACATTGGCATAGCGCAGAATGATCTCGTCATATTTCCGCACCATCCCATCTCGCGCCATTGTCCTCTTCATGGAACGCTGGGTATCGGAAAGCATAGGAGGTGGTCCAGAGGCCATTGCTTCGAAGAATCTTTTACACAAGTTTATAGAGCGAGCGATATGCAGAGCCAGACTGCACATGAGAAAGCACAGTCAGAATCAACAAACAGCATGAGTGGATGCTGGCAGTGTGACAAGCGATCCGGAATTTGTTGCAGCTGAACTGCAGATTAGAAGTATCGTGAATATAATTCTATTTATTGACGTTTTATAGATATTGTTATTTAATTTTTTTTGACCTTTTGCAGAATATGGATCGTGATCCTTATTTGGTTGAACATTCAAGTATGATTGCATGCATGATGGCCCAGGGAGCCAACTAGAGACAAATGACTTTTCTAGCAGACAAGATACCCTAGAGAGTTGCCAAGAGACAGATGCACGTGTAACGGACAAGGATGAGGCTGAAGACTCAATGGCTTAAAGAGCCTCCAAGGTACAGACGAGTGTGCAGCAAACATGATAGCCCAGAGAGTTATCTGGAGACAGACAACATTGTAATAGACAAAATAGCCCAGAGAGGCACCTAGAGACAGATGACATTGCTTGAGGCAAGATAGCCCAGAGAGCCATCCAGATTTTTTATCATCTTATTCTTCGTGTTCCCTTTATACCTGTTCTCCTTTTGTTTTCTTGTCAAGGCCATGGGATATCGAAGCAATGGAGGGGATCCCAGTCTGCTTACTATGGGGCAGAGACCAATCAAACAGAATAGGAGACAGGACAGTGTCTCCCTAGATGGGCTATCTTGGTGGCTCTAGGTGGCTCTCTGGGCCATCTTGCCTGCTACAGCCTCGTATGGTATTCTTATGGGATTTCCAGTGGGTTCTTATGGGATTTCTATGGTATGTCTATGATATTTCTATGGAATTCCTATGAGATGTCTGAGGGAAATCTATGATATTCTTATGGGATTTCTTTGTGGTACCTATACTAATTCTATGTTATATCTATGATATTTTCAGATGATTCCTCCCCTCCCCTAGCTGGGCTATCTTGGTGGCTCTAGGTGGCTCTCTGGGCCATGTTATCTGCTACAGTCTCATATGTTATTCTTATATGATTTCCACTGGGTTCTTATGGGATTTCTATGGTATGTCTACCTTGTTAGTTTATACGCCTGTCCGTTGCGTTTGCAAACACTCTTCAAAGCAAATTATCAGGACGCATCAGGTAAGCATATGAGATATCCACAGAAACAAGAAAAATAGCAAGAAACAAGAACAAGAACAGAACACAAATGTAAGAAGCTCCACGACAAGAAAATAATATATCTGGGTTTGCTCTATAGGCCGTCTTGGGAGAGGTAAAGGGGGGGGTCAGCCCAATTTTTTTTTTTTCGTTTGTTTTCTGCGTGGCTCTTTCTTTCCTGTGAATTAGAAATATAATCAGAGTCAGGTGTTCCTCAAGTCTGCTTGTTAGTGACACTACAGATTCATAAGCATGAATTCCGTAGACGTAACATTTTTCCTAACAAAGATTCATATGTAATCTGTCACGTCGTCTGTCCAGACATGTGGAAACGTGGGAACTGAGAAACGTGGGGACTGAGAAACGTGGGGACTGAGAGCGTCCCTTTCTGAAATTCTGATCATGTGATTGAATTAGCCATTTTCTGGGCACCTCATCAACTTTGACCCATACCGCATACCCCATAGGGTTGGTGATGTATATGTCACAACAATTACTCCAGGGCCCATTCACAAGCAATATCTTCGAAAACATATTCCCATGGTCATAGAGATCTGGCATGACCTGCCTCTGACCTAATGCCTACCCTTTGGTGACTTAACATAGCGATGGAATGGAACATCGCCAATTTGCTTCGATTTTTTTACCGATGAATAATAATTCATAATTAATAGTGATTTTCCAGTTCGCAAACTCTTCAATTGCAAGAGGGTGCCCAGAAGATTTAGTATAATATAATATAACATAATACAATATAATATAACATAACATAATATAATAATCTATAGACTTATCTGCATCATGGCCTTATTATGTCGTGATTCATATCCTCCAATATTCATCCTCGATAGCTCCGAACGTTTCGGCTGAGTTGGATCTCAGGATCTTAGGATCTGATCGAGCTGTGACACCATCTATGACTGGGAATGGTAAAACTAGTACCTATAAAAATGCTGATGACTGGGGGATGGTTTATATATGTTTATGGCATTGTTTTAACCACTGAAAAAAAACACATCTTTGGGACCATTCAAAGTGGGGCTGTTTTTTTATTATTAAAGAGAAATTGGCTGACGGATCTTGATGGCAGTTGCTGGTAAAGCTCCCACAACTTCAAGTCCTTCACCCTTCACAACCGCGCTCCAAGTTGCGTAGAAGAACAGGAAGTTGGAAATCCTTGGATTTGCCAGAGATGCCAGAAGAACAGACCAAAATCATGGCCAAAAACCGCAGGCCATACTTGCAATGTTCGAACCATCCTGAAGCAACATGAACAAAAACTAGAAGAAAAAACACACCAGGCTGATTTGAAAAAAATGCCCTCGGATATCCCCTCAAACTCCATCAGTAATCCTCCAAGACTCGCCCAACTGAACCAAACTTTAGCACCATTGTGCTTCGTCTAAAAAATATGCTAGACCCAAATTTGGATGTTATTCCATCTTAATCCCATCATTTTCCCTCTTCCATCACCATTTTTTTTTAAAGCTATCTATCCATATCTATCCCCCCATTGACATTCGCCCAGCATCTGATAGAAGGGTCCGGAGAACCAACAGACGGTCCAGCCATGGAAGTCCGCCTCTAAGGAGCCTGAGACGCCAATGGCCACCAGGATCAGTATGATGAAGAGCAAACCTGCCCATGTCGCGACCGCTACGGCGGTAGATCATTGGCGGCCCCCGGTTAACATAGCTATGGCATTTATGGTGAGTGGCCCATAGATTGGATGATTTGATCATATTTGATCTCTATTTTTAGCTATACTTTAAATGCTGCCCCCTTCCAGTTCGCAATTTAAGCGAACTGTTACTCCTTTCCAGGCTGTTGGGACAGGCTCAACGATTTTCAGTTTCTAGTTGGATGTGATCAACCCGAAACCTCCAAGATCCTTCAAGAATGGACCAGGGTTTCCACAGCGTCACCGTCCCAGCGCAGGCTTGGACTGGAGTGACTGGTCGGCTTGGCATCCGGCTGAATTACCATTTCACCTGAAATGTCAGGTTTCCCACGAAATGGCAACTAGGGGTTATCATGATGTTCAGTGAATGAGCATAGGTCCCAACAGATTAACCCACCAACCAGGCTATTTTTAATGGTTCATATAGTATGGATCCCCTAATTATGGTGACGTACTCAGGCACCTGAGGCGAAGATCAGGAAGGTCTTCTGAGGCCCCATGGCGTACGAAAATAAGGGGCCCATGGACCCTGCGGATGGGATTTACCCAGCAACCAAAAGGTATAGTGATATCATTTGTGGTATACAGAATATGGAAATCTCATGGAAATCTCAATGAGTCGAAAAAACTAGACGACGGATGGCCCGAGAGCGTAGAGGAGCAGGGTCTTCTCTTGTTAGTATGGAGACACCATATTACAAAACAATATATTAAAGATGTGTTATACGCAGTCGAAAAGAGGAGCATCAAGACAATATAGCATAAGTACAAGACAATAGTTTGCATCGCAAACACTTTTACACACAGAAGCTTTTGCACAGAGCAAACTTTTACACAGAGAACCCCTTACACAGAGAAGCTTTTACAGACAGGCGCTTTTACACACAGACACTTTTACACACAGACGCATTTTACACACAAGGCACTTTTAAACACAGACACTTTTACACACAGGCGCTTTTACATACAGACAGTTTTACACACAGACGCTTTTACACACAGTTGCTTTTACACAGACGCTTTTACACACAAAGCTTCTACCCACAGAAGCTTTTACAGACAGAAGCTTTTACACACAGACGCTTTTACACAGACGCTTTTACACACAGACACTTTTACACACAGACGCTTTTACACACAGACACTTTTAACACAGACCCTTTTACACACAGGAGCTTTTACACACAGAAGCGTTTACACGCAGTTGCTTTTACACACAAAAGCTTTTACACACAGAAGCTTTTACACACAGAAGCGTTTACACGCAGACGCTTTTACACACAAAAGCTTTTACACACAGAAGCTCTTACACACAGACGCTTTTACACACAGAGACTTTTACACACAAGCTTTTACACACAGACGCTTTTACACACAGAGACTTTTACACACAGAAACTTTTAAACACAGAAACTTTTACACACAGACCCTTTTACACACAGACGCTTTTACACACAGATGCGTTTACATACAGCTTTTCCATACTTCGCCGTATAACATAGAAACCGCAATTTTACCTCAGTTTTTGGCGATCGAACCTCGTTTCGTGCGAAAGGGTCGCGCGGGACAAGTTGAAATTGCAATTTTACCTCAGTTTTTGACGATCGAACCTCATTTCGTGCGAAAGGGTGCGCGGGACGACTTGCAAATCGCAATTTTACCTCAGTTTTTGGCGATCGAACCTCATTTCGTGCGAAAGGGTTGCGCCGGACAAGTTGGAATCACAATTTTACTTCAGTTTTTGGCGATCGAACCTCATTTCGTGCGAAAGGGTTGCGTGGGACAAGTTGAAATCGCAATTTTACCTCAGTTTTTGGCGATCGAACCTCGTTTCGTGCGAAAGGGTTGCGTTTCGTGCCGTCTCGTTGGCACTGCCCCTGCCCCCGCCTTCAGAAGAGAAATAGAAAAGAAGGAGAGGGCAAGAGGGCAAGAGGAGAAGATGCGAAGATGTGAGGGCAAGAGGGCAAGAGGGCAAGAAGGCAAGAGGAGAAGATGTGAAGGTGTGAGGATGTGAAGATGTGAAGATGTGAGGATGAGAAGATGTGAAGATGTGAAGATGTGAAGATGTGAAGATGTGAAGATGAGCAGATGTGAAGATGTGAAGATGTGAAGATGAGAAGATGTGAAGATGAGAAGATGTGAAGATGAGAAGATGTGAATGTGTGAAGGTGATGAGAAGATGTGAAGATGAGAGACAGACCCCCACTATTGGAAGAACCCTGCGCTCAGACGCTCTCCGGAAAAAATGCCGAAGAAAATGAAACAAAATTGAAGTTAGAATATGTTAGAACGAGACTGAGTCGACTATATAGTTATTTGGCTTTGTCACAGTTCCTGGGGAATCCCCAAGCAAAGGGCCCCGCAAAAAAAAAGGGGACTGGATCACGTTCACAGCTCCGGCGGCGGCCAAAACTGTGAACGGACCTCAAAAAGTGATCAAAAGGCGGCTTTAAAAGCAAGAAGTTTAAGGGTTAATTAGCTGAGAAAATCTGTGTTCAACATGTTTTCACAAACATCTGACGTCATTGGGGCTGCTGTCAGCAAATGTCCATCATGGTTTCTGTCTCATGATCCGCTTGGCAAGGTGAAATGCCTTCCAGAAAAGTTAGGCAATTTGACATGGCCTTGTCTTGAAATTTCAGGAATGAAAGCAAGATTGCCCTTAATTCTGAGAAACTGAGGGACATGTGGCTTTGTCTGAAAATAGCGTATCCCCAAATCCTATCTTTTCGAAGAAAGGAAACCACCTAGGCATGCTACCTTTGAAATCTCTGAAGCGACCTCCTCTTCAACTTTTGCCCGATTTCTCACGTCAAACGCTGCGGTGCAACTGGCCGGTCGACTTCAGAAAAAATCCCGCTTTGCAATGGAAAATCACAACGGATGTCCGTTCATAGATTTCTTTCCATTCATGCAGTAGTTGCCTAAAAAATCCTAGGAAAGCAGTGCAGATTGATGCAGATTGCCTTCTTTGTTGTATCGCAGAAACTCTCGGCCTGGTATGTGTGTATGTTATTAATTATTCTTGTTGTTATTTCGTCAATTCACAGCTTCAAAATGGAACACTTGTTTCTGACCATATGTCTTAGATGTAAATATATGTAAATGAGTGGTTTTGGTATCCCATCATTGTTGGTGAATATCATCTTGATTTATGATATCTGATTCTATTCATGTTCTTTGGAAATCACCATCATGTTTAAGTTGGGTTAAATCACTCACTTCTCTCGCAACATTCTCCTTTTTTTGGCCAATATCACCATGTGTCTTGGTCAACAAAAAACATTTTGATTTATTAAAAATTCTATTTATCTATTTTGATTCATCTTGATCCATGTGGATCAATTTCTTGCTTCCTGTTTGCTTCATTTTTGGTTCATCTTAAAGGTGCATTTTTGATGGGAAGGTCCCAGGCACTACACCCAGGAACGGACCCGGATTCCGCCGGCCTTGGAAGCTGCGATCGAAGTAGGTCTTGATCCACTGAAGCATCTCCTGATCAAATGGCTATTTCGTCAGTTTTCCTAAGATGAATGGGCAAGATTTTATACATATTATTATTATTATTGTATATATATATATATATATTGAACAATCCTTTGGAGAGATGTTGAAGATACATGGGAAAAACCATCATGAAAAAATATGTTTTGGATGGGTTTTCTTTCTGTTAGTTATATGCATATACATGAATGGGAATAAATTAGGGGATCTTCCGTGGAATACTTGAAGACATGGAGATAGAATGACAATATGAGAATATTCCATGGAATACTTGATATCTTTGTCGGGTATGGACCTGAAAATGGAGTATACCATGCTTGAATAGGACAAGTGTATTTAAATTGTTTTCTATCATTTTCACACACACACACCCAATAGAAACATGATTTCAGCAAGGTGAACAAAACAACAGCTTTCCCGGAAAATATTAATCTTACCTACTACAAGATAGATAGAAACTGCGATCAATTGCCATGGTTTCAATGGTTATAAATTATAATTTAGCACGATCAATGGTGACTTCATGGACTTGATGATCATTTAAGCTAGAATGCCGAAATCTTCTGAAGCTTCCCGAGGTTTCACCCTTCCCTGATACTTCCCTTCCAAAAAAAAGGTCAAACGCGGTGATCATCCAACAACCCTTGGGCAAACCACTGGGCCAATGACTGTCATTCTTGGGCAAAACTAAAAATATATCTTTTTGGCTTTCTGTAAAGCAACCTTACAAAAAGATCGACAGGTAAACCCTACCCCAACTTTGATGTTTTGAAACTACTGACCAGTTGTTCACACCCTCCACCAACCCGACTGCCGAGTCACCAAGTTGTCTTGGTACTTGCCGCGAACCAACTTGTCTACCTGCGAACATCTTGGTGGTTTGTTGGTTTCACCTCTCAATTCGGTGTCAAGTGTAGACCTATCAACTGTGGATTTGCTGTCATCTCTTGTGAGATATACCCTCTGGTTATGACTAACATAGCCATGGTATAGATGGTCCATAGAAATAGATGATTGTCCCAGGCATTAAAAGCTCCATTGATTTTAGGGATTTTCCATGGCTATGTTAGTCATAACCAGATGGTATATATATCTGGGTAAATTATAATAATTCACTAACCCGAGTTAAGGCCATGTGGGGATGATTTCCCTTACTAACTATGATTTCCAGTGAGGTCGTAGTGAGGTCGTAGTGAGGTCGTTATAATTTACCCATATATATACACTACGTAGGTTATATTTTCCATTCAGAAAACAACCCCAAATCACCACGGATTTCATGACGGACTGACGGACTTCATGACCTGTTTCAGGGTGAGAAAGACCTTTGGTCGCATGATATGAACAATTTACTGGTGGTATACCTACCCCTCTGAAAAAATATGGTTAATATACTGTTAATAATGGTCAATATATGGTTATTATATGGTTGATGATGGTTAATAACCTGGTTGGTGGTTGAGCCTACCCCTCTGAAAAATATGATGGAGTTCGTCAGTTGGGATGATGACATTCCCAATGTGATGGGAAAATTAAAATTTTGTAAACCACCAACCACAATTTATATATGATATATACACATTATCGAAACCACCATTGCCATACTATTCTACTAATACATGGATACTATACTAGTATACCCTGATTTTTGAGGTTTAACGGTCAGTACCAACATGTATACCAAAAGATTCACGATGGTTCACGTACTAAACCATCCAAGGTGTTTTCCAGTGAATATCCGGTCAAGGTCCATTCTTGATTGAATTCAAACCCCTGAAACTGTTGGTTTACTGGTTGGTGGTTTCAACCAACCCCTCTGAAAAATGATGGAGTCAGTTGGGATGATGACATTCCCAATATATAGAAAAATAAAATTTATGTTCCAAACCACCAACCACAATTTATATATGATATATACACATTATCGAAACCACCATTGCCATACCAGTATTTCTCTTACATATCCATTTCCAAGGCCCAGCTAAGCAGTTCGAGA